TATATATATATATATCTTGAGCGAAGATTGCCAACAAATATGAGCACACCAATTACGTTTATTTATGCAAATCATCACGATTACGCTTCTTGGATTTGCACTTTTCAAATTTGAAACTCCTCCAGTAATTGCGTGAAGTTGCTGTTACACCTGAATGAGCACGTGCAGCACCAGCATGTCAATCCAGGGACTGCTCTTATCAGTGAAAGGGGATAGTATTGGTAGTGTCGTAAATTGACATCGGTGATGGGATCACATCGCGTTCTGCACTCACGCAGGCCTAACTATCTTCACCCCTTGGCTTGTCAAACATCAAATTAGTTTAGTCTACTGATTAACAGGTGGGCTCGATTTCGAAAGAACTCTAGATATGCAACGTCTTCGTTCACGACACATGCACACGGAAGATTGGCAAATCTGCTCTTATTTTGATGCATACTGTTATTCTCTCGGATGAGTGCAGACTGATATGCTTAAAACTTACCTTCATTAAATGCGATTTGCAGTCAGGATAATGAGATCCTCAGATTTACTTTACCCTTCCTCCCGGTTGTTCTAGTAAGTAGTCAATCTGACGACGGTTCCGACTTCAGTAGACCTGAGGACTACGCCCATTTTAATATTTGCAATCTTTTAGCAAGGCAGCTTAGCATATATTTCAGTCCCTGTAACTTGCATTTGCGCACGTACTGATGGTTTAAGGTCATGTGTTACCTTGACTAATCAGCGTCTACTATCTTTGAACGCCCTTACAAATGCACTTACACTGCATGTCAGTACAATTTTCTTCGAAACTGTAGCCATGGTGTTCCATTTGGCCAATACATTGTGCCTGGGGTTTAAAACCTGCCCATCAATCCCTTCTTTGGGAAAGCAACATTCCGTCGGAGTATGATCAATTACTGCTTTGATAACTATTGTAAGTTACATTACACTAAATTCCATCTGTACGTGGAATGCCTCTTCGTGTGAGTTGATAATTCTCATCGTCCCAGTTATTTTGGATTTTGTTAATGGTCATCTATTTTAAGCAGTATTTACTCGAGGCGTGTTCTATTTCACACAGGACAAAGTGAGAAAGCATAAATATTTCATCAAGCATTTCAGAGGATACATTTTGGTCCATCATATCCGAGTTCTTGCATCTCTGAGCTCCGTCTGTCTTTCTAGCCCTATTGCAATCCACTCTCGGTGGTTCACTTCATGCGCCTCAATCTGTTTTAAATAACTGCCTACTTCAGGGTTTAATCATGTCACTACACTCATCAGTGAGTTGTAGGCCATTTCATCTCTCAATTGAAAGGATGGGACAATTTTATTATTGCTTGTCTGCAGTTCAGTGTTTCTGCAGTTAATTATCTCGGAGCTGGGCTTTGTTCTTTGCAATTGTTTAAGCATTTGTGAGAATTTTTCACCACAGTCACAAACTGCTTCTATTGGTAAATTTCTTGGGCTTCACTATACGGCAGACTTCACAGCATAATGGTTGTAACTCGAACTATCGAATGCTCAGCCCTGATCTCTTTCTTCCAGACAATTTATTGCGAAGTCGCTATCATTTATCAGTGTCTGCCACAGCAGTTCCAAGCATGTTTCTATAACACGCGTTTCCATCTTTTAATTAATTTGCGTCATCATCGTTAAAATTGTGCTCACCCACTTTCTCCAAATGTGCACTATATTAGGTGTATCGCTCAGAGAACTCATGCAGCTTTTATTCAATCAGCATGTCGCATTTACCCACGCCTCTTTGATTAGAATCTGACTAGCAGGGTATTTTTCTGGACGGCTTTGTCGACCCCTTAACAAACAAACACCCGCGGTGTATCTGCAAATCAATGAAGATAATGGGCAAAGTCCCACTCCGTCACGCAAGGTATTTGTGTAGGTGCTCCTTCAAACGTCATGCCCCAATGCGTTGAGCGATTGCATTAAGTGGGATGTCCCGAAGCTAGATTCGCGCTGACAGTAGTGGTGAAATTGATTGTGGAGAGAATTCGTCCCGCCTGCGTTGGGCTCGCTCTCACATCGCTCGCCAATGGGACCTGGCAAAGTGCATGTTGCACTAATTTGCCAAATCCGCTCCGTGGTGAACATTATCATGCGGCATCTCTCTTTGTCGCTCACGCTTTGTTGGTCTCAATAAACCAAAAGCCTAGACTACATCGATTTACACAAAACCACTGGGCCAGATTTCTTGCTTCTGGCTACTGATTATCCTAACTTCTATGCGACAAATTTATGCTATTTTCACGGCGTCCACTTATCCTTTCTGTAATTTCACTTGTAACTGTTGATTTTATGGTCACTTCTCTAGATTTTGAAACCAGCGGACAAAAAAAAATTCCACTTCGGCTACCTTCCATCAAGCTGGAGTGCATCGTGGAATTCACGAACCAAGGAAAAGCCTGTTGGATAAATATCCCCTCTTTTCCTCTCTCTGAAGGCGCTGATCTCTACTGCCTTCCCATTCTCTCTATTCCCCTGTCAAACACTGTACAGTAAACAATAGACTGAGATGTTGAGTATGTACAGTCACTCGCGTTTGCGCGTTCAAGCATTCCCTTGGTTCTCCCTCGTGTCACAATTCACATGCACTTGATATGCATGATTGCTCTGCGTCATCTGTGATATATCAGGATACAACCGCCGCATGCATCCGCACACAAACACCCTCTCCCCCCACAGCTCTTTTTTTTGCAAATCACTCCATCTTCTCCGGCTGCCCAGTGCGCACACTCATTCGATGTGTGCATGGGTTATCGACCAGAGTAAATCGTCCAATGCCTCCGTTTGTATGTAACACGTACATCTACACACCAATATACCAAGAGAACGGTCTTGTATACTTCTCGTCGAAGTACCTCGCCTGTGTGATGAGCAAATCCACTTTCAGTCACTGGTGCCACATATGAGAGGAGAGGAACAAGAAATAGACGATAAGAAAACGTAGTTTGCATTAACCTCTATTGAATTACATTAATCTTCATTCCATTGCCCTGACGATGGTGCACCATGACCCGCAACTGAGGGACAGCTCGGATTGAGACGGGAAAGGTAAACTTGTTCGATTAACTTTGTCGGAGGCCCCTTGGTGGGGGTAGCGTCCTGGCATTTTCCGTAGTTCTGCGTCGAAACCCAATTGCCCAAAGCCGTTCCAGCCAAAAGTGAGTAGCTGCTTATGCTCAGACAAACAGGCGGTATGACGACTTCCACAAGCGATCTATATCGGTCATAAATCATCTGAGGATGTGGGAATTCGTACCGCTACTATAGACACATCCTCGGGAAGGTCGACGGGCACGGGCAGTGCACTCAAGTTGACACATGCATCTGATGAGAAAAGGGGATCATTTAGGTTTCTTGATCTCTCCAGGTTCAGGGACGGGCAGCCCAACTGACCGAACTCGTTTGAACCCCAGGTATAAATGTCTCCCGTGTCTGTTAAGTCGGGTAAGACGTTAGAACAAAGGCTATCATACGTACCTGTTAGACAAACGGAATGCCAGGAGCCACATGCAATAGCCGTAACAGTTACGGGTGTCAGTGCAGCAATCAGTTCCGGTGATGTGCGTGTTTCTAAATCCCCGTGACCTAATTGGCCTCGACTTGATTGATGGTATCTCATCTTTTACCTACGTGCCGATTCCCTTGCTGAATACGGCTCCAGAATGAGTCAAAAATAGAGCAAATCCTGGCCCACAGGCAACGCTCTTTATCTTCATGGAAAGGGGTCGGTGTGTATTAAGATTATTCGGAAAACCATTCAGCGAATAAACAGAGAGAACCTCGTCCGCTGAAATGCAGTATAGTTCATCATCAGTAGCAGCAATTGATCGAAAAGGTGGTGTGTTAGCAGCAGTGATAAGATGCTGCGATTTGGAGAATGACAAGATGTTGCCACTTTTAGATAAAATGAACAAATGGGATGTGTTTGAGCAGAATTGTCGCGGTTCACATGATAGCGAGAACTTTGCTGAGTCACAAAACACATAGACTCCCTCCTCTAAAAATTTAGATTGGTAACACGAGATTTACGGCTCATGAAAACGGAGCAGTGCCAATCTGAATAAAGTAAGTGCTTTGTACCACCTGTATCATTAGCACCAATAACACGACCGAAAACTCCCAACATATCTAGTGAAAGTCGATAGATTTAGAAAGTGGCAGACTTTGCAAGTGAACTTCTGAAGGACAATACTAAAGAAAGTTAGTTTACTTGAAAGGGTCACGGAACAAAAATTACCAGAGAGAAACAGGCCAGGACAGATAAAAGAGATGCTCAAGATTATGCCAAACCAGTGGGCCAATAAAAACGCAGACATTTTCCTGGAACGATTTGGTAAAACCGTTTGGGTTGGGACCACCTGTGCACTTTAAAAGCTTAAATGGGGCTGTAGATGCCAAAATAATCTTGCAAGATAAAGTTAGTTCTCTTACTTTCAAGTAACCTCAACATTGCTTTAAACAGGTAAACTAGCACAGATACTACCAAATACCACGTATTTTATAGTTTGCCAGTTTGCATCCTCAAAACATTATATTTTAAAATACACAAGTCTTCAGACCTTTTAATCAGTACCATAACTAGAATGCCCCATTTACATACCTAGTCATTGCTCTCCCTACATTTGCATTAAACTTGTAACGCCCCTAATTTGTCTGAAGGTGTTCTAAGCTAGGCCAGCCTGGAGCAGGATTCACTACTTGTAAACAAGTTAGGCGGAAAATGCATGCTGCAAGGACTGAAGAATGTGCATAGCTAAGTAGAACCACTGTAGCGTCCCGAGACTTCCCTGAAGGCGAAAAAAGACATAATGCTCGGGCAGGAATATATATTCAGCATAGAGAAGGTGTTTAGGCTACTGGCATGGCCAGAAGGCCATGCCCACCCAGCGAGATACACGAAAGCAAATTCGAAAGCTTAAAAGTGGCGCCTCACCAATACCGAGGGCTAAACCACCATTATATCACACCACTGCATTCCATTACTTAAGTACTGCCAAACAAAGTGTCCGTACATCGAACCGGTGGTTGAGAAACCCAAACTAATGACCATAAACTGACATTTACCAGGCTGGAGCTGGAAGTCAATAATAAGAAGTACACGGGAGCCAACTATCGCCCATTCGTGGCCCCTAATGCCACTTACGCGAATCAAAGAGTCCAGTATTCATGTATGTTTAAAAATATTAAAGAAAATTGGAAATGTCAGGTTTGAACGCTGAACGGGTCAGAAATGGAGATCGCCACGCGCGACTAATCAGGTAAATTTGTGTACCTTGAATGGGTGGAATGGCATAATCAGCAGCAAGCGCGGGGGATAGAAGCGCTGTACCAACAGAATGATTACGCTGTGCTTTGCCACACTTATAACGCCTAGCGTCTTAAAATTGGCAGGTCAAATGAGTTCTTTAACCCGCAGAACTCCAGTCGGTCCGTCCCCCCGTGGCTAAGACATTCAATTTTTGGTTATCGCTAAGTGCTGTAGCACCTTTGGTTACGTATTTGAACTACCTCTTCTGCTGGCATCCCGACCCATTTAAATTTTTTTAGGATCGGTGGCTCTATGGTGATCACGATAGTATTCACATAGCGTTTGAAAACACCAGAAATTGGGATCCGGAGCTAATTTGTCATCCCAAATTATTTATTTCTGCAATTATTCGGTCAATGCATTCCGGCTAACAGATAGTCAAAGAAATTGCATCGGACCGTTTGGGCATGGACTTGAGGTGTAAGGCCTTTGAGACTTCGATTCTGACTCTGTTATGTCGTTTACCTGCCTCGAATCCCATAAGCTTCAAGTAAGCCAACAAAGTTTTCGCCAAACTTTATTGCAGAAGTAAAGCCCAAGGATCTCGAAACCATCAAACCATCATTGGTACATAAGTATCTTTCCCAACCCCTTTGGAGAATAAGCCAGACCTTTGCAAATCGGGTACCGTAACTTGAAGTGTTCAACATAATCTTCAATCTCTCCTGCAACCATATGAATGTTTAGGTATTCCAGGTGGTAGGAACACATTTTAAGATTTCAAACTTCACAACCCCGAATGTAATGCCCCTAGTACAACGAAATACGAGGGGCTCAACCTCAGAACCAAAATGACGAATTAGAAATAAGGGAATCAGATTGGATTTCAACTGTCAATCAATGGGTAATACTGATATCGCAAGAAAATATTACTTACTGAAGTAGTCAACACGCACCCGCTACGTTTTCAATATGTCGTAAGTTTCCATGATCTATTTATAACCACCGGTCTACACAAAGGCTTTTACAAGCATAGACTCTTAAAAATTGTTTGAAGACCTTTGCGATAACAACGATTTAAATACAGCACTTTTACCTGTCAGTTGCAACGACTAAATCTTATCAACGGAATACATTAGACAACACAGGACGGAGAATAACAATTTTGACAAATTGGGTGGTCCTGCGTTTACTGTCACAAGAGGGAGAGAATCGGTTGTAGTCACTAAACTTTTGACAAATATTTGGTAAATGAAAGTACTTTAGATTAAGTGATATACGTCGACGAGATAAAAAGTATAACACAAACTAGGAGACACCCGAAATCAGTAAGGTGTTTAACATCGGTCTTTGCGGCTACAAACTACCTAGTAAAGTAGTAATTCGGCTAAATGATTAGTCGAAATGACTTACTCTAACCTAAAACATCGATAGACTTTCATTTAATTGGGTATTAAGAGTGCTACATATCAAAGGCTCTCATGGACATACTGCCTTCGAATACTCCGATTGAAATGGGAGAATTAAAGCGTGGACCCTATCAGAGGCCTAATGCACCCGAGAGCACTTGTGGTTGACGGTTTTTTTGTCGTGAATAATTCCGACGCTCGCAAACATAATAGCTTAGAAAAGGAATACCTAAAGGGTTGTTTATTCACAAAGGCTTACAATTACTCAAAACGGGGATTAGCTCCAAATGGTATCAGAGTACAACATAAAACCTACTTGGAACATTTTCGCATGAACAGGCAAAAAGAGAACAACATTAAAGCATCAACTCTCCGAATCCGTGAGATTTTGAATAAGTTCCTCTAATTTTGAAGCTAATGCAGTTTTTTTGCTGTCAAATGACGACCGAAATTCATCTATTTCTCTTTTGATCGTTATTAATTCCGAAATAACTTTCTGTTCTACTTCGTACTTTGACCTAAATTATAGAAACTTCTATTATTCGTGAAACCTTGTCTCCTTTATCATGCAAGCCAGAGCTTCGTGAATCGACAAAAGGGTTTCTATAAATAAGAGAAATTGTGCATCATACTTTGGGGATCATTCTCCTGGTTCGAGTCGTCAGGGGCTGTTTTTTTGCGTCCATCATTCTGTTTCTCAGGAAGAACTAAAGAACAGGTGTTTGGCAATTAGTACTTCAGGAAACATACTACCCGAACCCTGATGCATTTCCGCGCATGCACCTACAGGTGGCCAGTGTATCGCCTTAGCCGAGATTAAAAATTATAATGAACAAATCCGGAAAAAAGTTTTAAGTGCATAACAAATTATATTTTATTTTATGAATTACTATTCTAGACTTCTTAGTCAAAAGTTGCTTCAAGCAACTTTTGGTCGTGCTCTCATACTTTAAGTTTATTCAAAAATATACAGTCCACCAAACCATAATGACGGTTTTTGGCTGCTATTTTTTCATCAGTTACGTGATCAAACAGCACGCTTCTTTGATGCATGCGGGGCATCGATCTGGTTAACAAACGCGCCTCTTTGATATGTATTAGTCCCAAGATCGCTTGTGGTGAATTTCAACAGTTCTTCCATTTCCCAGACTCGCTTCTAGACGCAAATTTTTGCAATTACAAATTTAATTTGCTTTGTTCTACTGACGTACTACCTAAATTCTAGCTGGGCCTTGGGTTCTAGTCTATCCTGTATAAGCAAGTTTTTTTCCATCAACTTACCTTCAGTTCTTTCGCTCAATATTCTTAATTATGGTTGTCTTACTGATTGGTTTTGGCAAACTAACTAGTAATTTCATTTATAAAATAAGTAGGTTCCATCATCTTTCTGACACTCAAAATTTAGCCTTTTCAAAACACTTTTATACCCAAGTTTGTGATAACAGTGATTTTTGGTAATCCAGTCATTTGTGGGCCCTTTCAACTCACTGTTTTTAATTTAAATCCTTCTATGCCATCCTTTCAACGTCATTTTTTTGATTGGTCCAGTCGGTAAGTTGTGGGTAGTTTTGTCTCTTTATTGGTCCTTCCTTGACAGTTCTCTTTGCGTTTGTCTGCATTTTAACTCTTCTTAAACTCGTGGGTCTCATCAGTCATAAATTGAAAGACTAGTCTTGCTTATCTGTAATTTGCTCTCAATATTTTAATACCTGTTTCGTCCTAATTCGTGCTGATGGAGCGTTGCTCAGATAATTTGGAGCTCGGAGGGTAATATCAGTGGCTGCGTGTAGACTGGATTGCGCTCTGCTTTGGCTTTTTAAAAACTCTGGGTCTTTGTAGGGATCTTTTGCCCACTTTTGGTATCAGTTGTAGCTTTCCTCCGTGATGTCTGTTAACTCCATAGCTATTATGCCTTAGGCCGTATAACTGGCTGATATCTCGACGTTAATATACTACGATTTCGTTAAGGGCTCTTATTTGTGCTCTTTTAAAAGTGGTCATGAGGATGCGTTTACGATCAATTTTGTGTACCACTTTTTTAAAAAAATGGGCGTTCATGTCTGCTATCTGTTGCGTCAATCAACTAACACTTTTTGCTTATGGAAAATCCACTACAACTCAAGTAAAGTTCTAGTAAGTAATCTTTGGCAATGTTTTCACCCACATTGTGAGCTGTGGGCGTCGCACTGAAATTTAAAACTTATTGCTTTGTTATTTAATGTGGATAAATAAAACTACCCTTACCTGCTACAGTTATTGATGTTGACGCAGACAGACAGCCCGCTGGTTGCACCTCAGGTGACGGACCCTTCCACATTATCGAAGGCAGTGCGTGCTCCCTCCCATTTGGAGCTTAGTCCCACTAGTCCCGTAGTCAACGGCCTGCGGCAATCCACCATCGCCTTCAAAGTGCAACGTACTAAGACTAGCTCACAACTTGTTGCTGCCAATGGAAATATTGCACCAGTAAGGATTACACTGCTGATTCTGCTAAGTATATTTACTTCTTACCCATGCTGCTATTTGTTATCTCCTAGTAACTTACTATTTTTTGCACCTAGGTGTTGCATGTTGCTGAATCACAAAACGATTCCGATGCAGCGGTGAAAGTGTCGAAACCACACGGTGGTGGTGCTGTGCGCAGGCTGAAGCAAACTCTTTTGATAGAGGAACCACAAACAGTGGAACCATCTCGACAATCAGCTAAAAATGTACAGAAATTTGCCAAGTCGACGAGGTGAGTAGGATTCACCTTAAGGCGTCGTGATTTGCCTAATGTGCCGCTATTCAAACGTCTACGCAAATGTCTGGATTGCATTCAATTCGCCCCAACTTTTGTGTTTTCAGGTACATTTTCAGGCTAGAATGACACTAGCAGCTTTGGTAGGTTTATGTATCATTCGTTCACCTGGAAGCTGATATTTAGTTCGGCACCTCGTTCTTTATTGCACTACTAACAGGAGTCGAATTGTGTAGGAACATTTCTTCCGTAAACAGCTAAACTAATCTAGCTTTTTAGGTAATGTGGCTGTGAAGTTTGGAACTAGACTAATGTAATATGAATGATTTTACGGAGTTGCAATTAGACCAACCTGGGCATTCATAGCAGGCATTGTTTGGTCACCACACCTACCAAGGCGTTGTGTTTATAAGCTTTGTGCATTCGAACTGTCTTGGGGAAGTGTAAGTCCGGTACTCTGTTGTAGCACTGCAGTTTAAGGTATCATGGCTGAGGTTAAGTTTACGAAGAATAGTGCTGAGAGACGTCAACTTGGTCTTGCCAGAAGCCGACGGACGGCTACTCATCGCAGCCTCAGCGTCTTCGACCCTTCCCCCGCTAGTGGGGAGCAACAACTGCATCGACAGCCAAAGGCTTGCTCTCTCAGTCCCAAGAAGCAACTTCGCGCCAATTCACCCGTGTTGCAGACCAAAACCGCCACTATGCGACTTCAACAGACCCAGCTCCCAAACTTCGGCATCCGACGAACGGCTCGACAGTTCGCCAAGGATATGCAGGTCACCCATACGACAATATTTAACAATGACACCCTCTTATTCACTCCTGTTGGAGTTAACTAATTTACCTATAAGATGTTCACGTCAATGCCATCGCAGTTGATGATGTTTAGATAGTAGAGTGGAGTCAGTTGAATGGCGTCGGCATTCGTGTGCGCGTCACTCTGATTGATATTGTAGACTCCTCTTAGAAATACACAGCTATCTCTTGCAGCATCCATGATCATTGGCTACTAATTCTTTTTGTAACTAGTGAGTTTTTGTGTTTATCGATGCTCGGTTGTTGGCCCCCAAACCTTGTTCAATCATTCTTTTCACCTAAATTTCCAAATCTACGAAGATGCTGCATCTGCATCAGTACCTCATATTTTCTCCCTCCTTGGTTTTAGCAACAAAAAGAGGCTGAAGTTATTTCAACCATTCTTAAAAGCGAGGAGTCCGGCATGAAGGTGTGTATTCGTATTTAAACTTCATAGAATTGCTTGCCATCGCCACTATATTCTCTTTATTTGTAAGATGCAGTTGCAATAGACGTCTCGGTATCGCTGTTTCGCTACATAACTTTGTTTAAACCCCGTGGTCATCCATTACCGATGAACATTGCACTTCAAAGTTAGTTAAATTTGCCACCAAATGCATTACTATCCCAGGGCGGACCCCTACATCGGATTGTGTGTCTTTTGTGCCTTTAATGTCCCAAGAAATCAGATTTTAGACCCATCCGCTTGTAGATTTCAAGGCGTAGAGCTTTTTAGAAGTATTTGAGGTGTATGGGTACGTCAGAGCGATCACTATCAGGATTTGGCGTTAAAGCCCTACTTACGTTGATTGTCGGTAGTACAGATTACCAAATGAGATTTTGGCCATGTGGGTGGCTTGTTCATCTTTGCAATGTTAATATTTCAGGTCGTGATTACCGAGGATAAGGGTCGAGGGGTGATAACCACGCGGACATTTTTCCCGGGTGAATTCGTGGTGGAGTACATTGGTGAACTCATCTCCGGCAGTGAGGCGCGTATACGTGAGGCGGAGTACAACAAGGACCCCAACGTGGGATCTTTCATGTTCTTTTTCTCCCATGGGTATAGTGCTTCTTCTTCGTCTAGCCCTTTATAAGCTCCAATATCTCATAATTGTCAAATTTGGCGATCAACTTACAATGGTGCCCATTTAATTTATCGGCGTTTATGTCTGGCTGATTTTTCCACGCTTCATTTTCAATTTTTTAATTCCATCGGCTAAGAAGTTCTTTTAAATATAAAAATCTTCCAACATTAGCTGCATTCTAAAGGATCATCAATTTCTTTTACTGTGAGATGCACTACATCTCAACAACTATCCCCTTGGCTTAGAAACCAGCGCTACTGTGTGGATGCAACCGAAGAGACGGGTAAACTAGGCAGACTCATCAATCACAGTCGACTACATCCTAACTGTGTTGTCAAAGTTATACCCATCAACGGAATCCCTCGTCTGGCCCTTTTTGCGAAAACTGAAATTCCACCAGGTCTGTTTAGTTTTTTTTGATATAACAAACCGTGTGTAGTAGACTGAGATAACAATACGAATTACACGTTCTAAATCGTCAACCTCTCACATCGCCTTATTATAACTTGATTGATAAGTCCGTGAATAGTTTTATTTCCTTGTTTAAATTGCGTCTGATTTTTCAAGTTAACGAATATCTAGCCCTCGGTAATTCTGCCCTGTTGCATTGCAGATATTTAGCTGCAATAGCTCTTTTTCTACCTTCACTAACTAAACTCTCCCGCGGTTTTTTATCGTTACAGGGGAGGAACTTCTATACGACTATGGCGACCGTGGTAAAGCGAGTCTCATCGCTCATCCGTGGCTTAAAACTTAGAGTCAGTGTTCCCCTTTCTTGTATGTGTCGTCTTTGTTTTTTTGTCCAGCTTCTTTACGTTTTTTGTGGGTACGGGAAAGTTTGTGCATCTGCATCTTATGTCCACTAACATTATCAGGATAACTCGAATCCTGCTACAAATCAGTAAATAGCGCAAAATATGTCCGTGGTGAACTTTCCTTTATGATCGTATGCTCACATTGTTTACACTACGCAGCTACTTTGTCTTTATAAGTAGCGTCAGTTGAGTGACAGCAATTATAAGTTCAAGCTAGCAGGGTGGCTTAGGTGCGGTTTTAAGCAAATGCTCTTTTCAACGAAGTGAATGTTGCGTCATGTAAATATGTAGTCGTGGCCTATCTTTTAAAGCGCGAATTCTCCCACATTCAGTGATGGTTCATTATCGGCTCCCATACAAATCTGTGCGATTCTACCTTCACCATTGGGTCTCTGAAGCCGTTGCTAGGCTCCAAACATGGGTGCATTGGCTAATTGGCTAGGTGAGGTTGTGCCTTAAAACCGTAGTTCGTTTAGTTCTATGGGTTGGCATACTTTGCCGCCGCTACGGTAATGCGTTTTCGGCATTCGTACGTTCATGCCCCTACAGGGACTCATGCGGTTTTATTGGACAACGTTTGCGTATCTGACCGCAATCAAGCCAGGAGGTGTTGACCTTGTGTCTAAGCTCAACTTAGTAATCGAGTTGGGGTGAAGCAGAATGCCATCCGCGGGGATTCCGCTTGGTTTGTGTGCACTTGTGTGGTGAATTCCGATAACTTGGGGTTGTCCGCCTTCGTTTCATGCACAGGATTCTTTTATGGCTCTCCTGATGTGCGACATTTCGCCGTGTGGGCGCGTCCCCCGCTGGCCGCTAACCTCACTTTTGGCAAACCTTTGGCCCAGAAGAAGCGCACTTAAATCCAGCCGCTGAAATTACGCTTGAACGACTAATCAGTGCACTGGTGGCAATCGCTGTGTCCCTACAGCCTCCATCCCTTACCACTTTCAGTTTGTCCTCAGAGCTCAACAGTAGTGTTTGCGCGCTCTTTTCCACAAGTTGATTTGCGCGAATCAGTTGAAATCCCTCGGGCATCAGCTTTATAAACTTAGGGGAGTAGTTTTAATTTGAGGCATTTAACGTCATTTAATGGCTAGAATTCAACTGGCGTTTTTATTTGGTGGCTGAAGTACTACGGTTCCGAGTCGACTGCATTCTTTTCAGCTGAACGCCACAACGTCTTGTTAGGATCCTTGAAATTAACTTTTACTGTCTTAATGGGAACTTGTTGTTTTCGCTTCATTATAAGGAGGTGATTATTTTACAGGGATCAGTACACTAGAGACTGTCGGATTAAAATTATTTGGAAGTACAACTTCGCGTTGATCATCTTTTACCGGTGCTGTTTCGATAGCCTAACTTGGCGCCTTGCTTGCAGCTCCTTAACTGACTGTTTAGGCTACGGAAGATAGTGTTCCTTAGCCGCCTCTGAATGTTCTACTGCCTGACATTGCGCAGTCACTTTATATCATTGAGATAACTCTTTAATCCCGCCAAGTCGCGTCTGCTTACATAAGAATTGTTGATATAACTACTTACGAGCTCGAATTGTCAGAACCAATCTTTTGAGAAACCAAACTAGGGAAAAAGTTCTAACTTGTACAAGGCTTTCAAGGGCGTTTTATGCAATGCTTCGATTATTAGGTTTGAAAGCGTGTCATATCTTCGGGAACTGGAATGGGGTTGTTACTATTTTCTCTATTCTATGATTCCGGTGGCTTATTTAATCTCATTTTCACATTTATTTATCCCCTTACTGAGGATCCAAAACAATAGTAATCTAAATTTGAAGTAGCGCTGTTTCTTCAAGGGACGTAACGGAGTTTGGGAGAAGAAAGTTGTTTGAGAACTTTTTTAGCTTGTGGCCAAACTGGCATGATTGAGCCGTCGGTTTCTTTAGTGAATTGTGCTAATTGAAGCCTTTGGTTCGTATTTATCTAGGCTAAATCACTATGATATGAGGAGGGGATAAATTTGTGACATTTGGCTGCCTATTTAAACAATGGTTCTAAGTTTCGTTGAAATTGATGGAATCACAACTGCCCACCAGGCGGTGCTGTCAGGACTGGCGTTTCGTAATTGCATGAGAGCGTTTATTCCGTGGGGTTTTCACTATGTATCCCGTTTCGGGAAGTGGTTTAGGAAACAATAACAGCGTTTTGATATTATGTCAGGATGAATGGCCAAATGGGGAGGAGCTCCTGTGAAGTGACCAAAATATTTCTGCATGAACGACTAGGAAAAATGGAAGCCCGTACGAGAAGCTCTCCTGTAACTGAGCATTTACGCTACTCTCTAGTATGACTCCGACGACCAGAGCGTCTGTTTATGTTGTAGCTCAGCAATAAAGGTATGCTGTTCTGGGTGTTCTGATTTTGCCAGAGGAAATGGTTAAGCCAAGACGGCAGAATTAGTAACGGCGTTAATTGGGCGTCCTCGGTTTACCTCTTCCATCTTGTCATCTTCGAACGCGAACGTTTCAAGTGAATACCCTTTTAACTGCTAGGTGTTAGTTTTTGGTTTATGTTCGTATCACTCCCGAAATAATGTTTCATTGGGTCTTGAGAAGAGTGTGCAGATCCAGTATACTGGCTCAACTAGATTAGATCGAATAAACACATTCGGAATGCTTAAAAACACTGGAGATTCCACACTTTCAAACAGATGGCAGCTTCATTAAAGCAGAAGAGTTTCTTTGATGAAATGGCCGGAAAGAAATTACAGGTAACACCAGCAATGAAATTTTCTTAAGTTTCTTAGTAGCAAAAAATACCCTAGTGTCCAACTTCAACTACGAGACATGCGCTTGTTTAGCAAATAATTATGCGGGTCACACCCCAAACTAGGTTAAAGTACTTTTTGTGAGCGGAGGATGTACCATAGGGATGACTGGAAAACGTAAACTTTAATAAAAGGAGGTAACGAGAATACGATTCCACCTTCCCAGGTTCATTCTTTCAAGTTAAGGTCTTTTATTTTTCCCCGATTACTTATTTTATTTAACTATAATTTTTACAATCCACTTTCATGCAACACTGGACCCAGTTAATAAATAGTTTTTATACACTTCGCTTCCCAAGAAAAGTAAAAATATGTCACAATTTGTACAAAAGAAATGCTCATAAGAGGGTCTACGGGCTCAAAAGACTATTAATGAGGTAAAGTATCTCAAATGCAATTTGCTGCACTTTACACAATTTTACTGTTAAGTGAAGCTTATGAACCCTGAAGAAGGCTTTTCTTCTGGTGTTCATTTATTGCCTTTCACAGTAAAATGTCAAAGCTGTTAATAAATTTCGGTTGAAAGACAGCAAAAGTACGGAAACACTTTACCAGAACACCTCTATATCTATCTATATTAAGTGGAACACAGTAGACCGGTTTTAATTGTACAATTGTCTAATTACTGGGCACACAATGGTTGCCATAGAAAAAGTTGGTAGTATTTGCTGTGGCTGAAATTACAGGGGCTGTTGCGATATCATTCTAATTCCGTCAAGCTTTGGGCACCATATTACTGCACAGGTGCAAGTCATTGCCTCCGACAATGCAAAGCGAATTGCGCGTTTTTAAGGCCATCGTGACGGGTCGTCACCACTGTCAGTCATTGGTATATCCACGTCAAAGCGCTAAGCACCCGTAAAATATGCTTTTACTACGTACCATAAATGTTCTGACCTCAAGCCATTCATTGAATTAAGGTTAAATCATGACGGTGTAATTAATATGATCTGAACGTCTTGTGACAAAGTTAGAAGATAAAACTTGACTCTTCCAGTTGCATAACTTGGCATATTGTGAACCTAAAGCGAAAGTAATCAAGTATTTACAAAGCGTGTCTTCTACAATGGAATACTATTACCCTTCAATCACTTAAGACCAATTCCAAAGACGGTATTTGCTGATAACGATAATAAGTAATTCGTCTGGAATTAACAATCTATTCCATGCAATAATCCTTCTCACACTAGGTAATCAGCATTTTCATCTACGCATTATCAATTGTGTCGAAATATGGCAAATTCTGAGTTTTGATGACTTGGCTCACAGCTTTGCGAACAGCCATTCACTGGCCATGGCAATCCACTTTTTTTTCAAATCGGCCAGTCTATTAAGCTAAGTTTTTTTTTTCTGAATTTGCATTGCCAAGTGCCACCATTTTCCCAATAAAACTTTTACACCACTTAAAAGTACTTTTTAAACTATCCTCGACCAGTTTAAAGAATTATCCTCTAGTTAAAGTAATTAAACTTCAAGAATGGACCATTTGTTTACCGTCTATATTTTAAAAGCATAACGATCTTGGTGCAAATGTATTTAATCAGTGATTAAAACAGTAGCTCATCAAAGCGGTCTGGAGGATGTATGCATGACTTTTGTGGGAGAGTTAAAAGACCCGGAGGAAGTTTTTTTGGATGTTGTGGTATGGATATTTGTAATTCTACGTTCACATTCAGAAGGTACTTCGACTAATGCTAACCATACCGGTGTGTCATTGTTCGGATGGACAGGGCGTTATTACACATGTATTCAATGGAACCTTAAAATGACCTCTAATGTACAGTGTCTTTTTACTGTTAAAGTAAACGAGAACGGGGTCTTTAGTGCTCTCAGGCGAAGAAGAAACACATTTTAATGACTGTTAAAAGTGTGTCTCATAAATGGTGTCCGTTGGTCAACCACGGTGGTTTGTAATTGAATTCAGGATTTCACGGACGAAGTACACAAATTAGGGTTATTGTAGTACACCGCAGCAGAATTTGATTGCTGTTTACCTGACCTTTCAAACCCCAAAACACATTACTTTCTGCCATCAAACACAGCTTCTTCTGCAGTTTGGCTAATTGAGTTTTAGAGTTGTCTATTATTCTACTACTGAACAGTGGCCGAGGCATTCTGGTATTATGGCTTCGAGCATTTTTCTACCATTTTTAGCTTTAATACTGAGCTGTGGTTGCAAAACAGTTTTAAATACTTCTAAATACGTGCACTCTCAAAAAATAAAAATGAACCCCAATTCAGGAGTTCGCACCCGTCCTCGCAAATGATTTACATTCAAAGATACCTTTGAATTAGGCATCGACCGTTATCTTGAGCGAGAATCCATATAGTTGAAAGTATTTGCTACGATGAGGAGGAACGCCATTTCCGGAAGACTGGAGACTAATCCATTGGAGAACCAACCGTTTTAGGCTACCAAAGTTAAGTCTCTCATAGAAAGGAGTATACTGAACTATTAGCATCGTAAAGCCTAATGAATGGAGAGTATGACTAACTTGTTGAGGGCACTCCATAGTGCATCCAGTCGCAAATTTGTAGATGCACTTAACTGTAAATCCAGAGAGTACAGCCATGGCGGAGATAGACAATGCAAATTTCCGCACCAACAATGGGCAAAAGGGGTGGATTCTTAGCCCAGAGGTAAGTTAAAAACATAAGATATCCTCACTTACTTTGCTACTGATTTCTCCTATACCTTTTGCGCAAGACATTGGTATCTATTGATGAGAGATAATGAAGAAAAGCAGCATTTTTATTCCACCGAGCAGCTTTTAAAAAATTAAGTTTAGAGTACATTGTGCTTTTGCAATGAATCTGTTGTTTGTGATGGGCCGTTTATGTCAAAACGTTTGCTGACAACGACTTTTTCGTACATAAACAGCAAAAAATAGGTGTACTACCAACTACATCGCACATGGTAATTTCAATTTTAAACTGACATCCGTGTCGCCGTGACTCACCAGATGCTTGTCCCCTGACGAACCAATCAAGATGCTGCAAGGTCAATGACAGGAAAATCTATTTTAGTGCGCTAAGGTATTGGTGGATCTAGGCGACACGCATGCACGCGCATACTTTCCCGTTTCCTTGGTCCTTCCCCAACATCTATGGGCTTCTTCCCCTTGGTGCGTGCATGCGTATGCGTGTGTGCATCCACTTTGCACGCCGCTTTGGCACTATTATAGACTGCAGTGCCTAAGGGAAATAACGGATTGTGACGGAAACCATCGTCCATCTGAGTGATCCAGACGCATGGGTGCGATTCATGGAAAGCACCACCTCTCAAGAACAGAGATCAGGGCTCTCGCTTTGAAAACACACTTTACCGAAAAGCAGATCAAGAAATGGCACAGCATATTCCTGGTAAGTAGCCGGATCCAACCAACAATCCATTCACCTATCATTCCAGTCTGCGCATGCATTAAATCTTATCAGTAGTAAACAGATTGCCGATGTTGAAATCCGCTATAACTCGAACAAACTCCACCAGCTTACGCGTAAGCGCTTCTTCTCTAAAATGGGTACAGCAAAACAACTTTAGTATTTTAATGGAGACCACAACTCAGCTAACTCAATCATTCCATCAATAAACAAATTTAACCCCAAACATACTTTTATTGGTCCTCCTGCCAGCATTCCGCTTTGTCCATTGTAGTAGTGAGAGTTGAACCGGCGCAGCACAGTTTGTGGCTCCCTGTTCTAGTGGTTTGTTGCGCGTTTTCAAAAGTCCACTTCCCTGGTTGTACTGCTTGGATTATTTAGTCCCTAGTCCTGCATATCATCTGCTTAATAGCTGGGCACAGTGGGCAACCTGGTTTATTAATTAGTTCGGCCTTTGCATTGAAACCTAGCATAGTTTCACCAGCTTTCCATTTGAAACATTAATACACCATTTTATATCAATGATGCAAATATTCAAAAGGTATACCTGACGCTTTAAAAGACCCAGACAGATTATGCATTTTACCGTATTCATAGCTTCAATAATCTGTTTAACAGGTCCGTCACTGACCTTTTTATTGCTGTTATTGGCGATTCATTACCAACTCTCTTCTACCATTTTTACTACCTTGACCAAAACATGAAAACTGAGGATGACAATGTACTATCTCCTGTATATAAATCCCAACTGCTATAAGCTTCATTACCTTTTTTCTCCCCATCAAAAAGGGCCGCGCGAGTGTTATCCAAACAACACTTTTAAGAACCGTCGTGGTTCACTATTAAGTGTACCATCGTAAAGTGTTCAAAATGCTCCATTTAACTGCAAATGTTGACAATTGCATTGTGATTGTTCTAGTGCTCAATTCGGTTACAGATTTAGCGCTCACATTAGTGGAGCTGCCCTCATTCAAGGAAGAGCTCCCACCCAATGCGCTATGTTTGAACTAAACAAGCCGAACGCTTGGAACAAATACTTTTGTTACGAATTTTATGTGATGCGCTTGAAGGAGGACAAGGTAAATAAAGACTCCATCCAATCCCTTTGAGTCCTGTCCATCCAAGCTTCAGCCATGAGGTCATCACCTTGATCAATCCTTAGACCTCAACACATTTCCCTGTGTGGAATCCAGATGGTCAAGAAAACGTCGACGGCACTGCGTTGTAGTGTCCTTAGATTATTTTGGAATAATCCAGTACATTCTGACTTATTACACCTTCCGACATTATTAACCAATTCTTGACACTACTTTCACTTTTAGGTTTATTTGTGGTTGGGGTTTGCTTCTGAGGCTATGGTACTTACTCTACCACTTTTGAACTTTATTGAGAAATTTACCGCACTCATAGTGTCTACAAATGAAATTGATGCGACAATTTAGTAAACAAAAGTTAGTGAAGTTACGGTGGTGGTGTTCAAATGGTAAAAACCAGCAGCAAGCCCACCAAATTACCCTAAAACTGGTTTGGAAATGCATGATAATCGCAGTCGGAGACATCACCACGTCATGGAGATCGCCTATGTCATTTCACCCAAACTCTCAACCCCTAAAATGACGAAAGCGTGCGGGCCAACGTTGGTACGAGTCGATAGCGGAATTTTATCACATAGATATCGCCCACTTTACTGAATAGAGCAACGAAATGGCTTCTAAGCTTCGTCTCTATCTCCACCTTCAGTAGCGAAATTTCAATTTATTTGTCTAAATTAAGCAACAATACCCAGGATAAGCTACCTTAACTGCTGGAATTAATGTTCACCCTCATAAGGACGATTTCGCCAAATTTACCTACTTTGGATGAAAATCATGATTTTGGTGATGTTCACGACGAAAAGCATCCTTTGTTATTCACATTCTTGAGTCTTCCTCTTGGTCTGACGATTGCCTCATTAATAAATATTTGAGTCTTTTAAATTTCAACCCACAATAGCCAAAGGAGATTGTTTCGACGTGTCCAAATGAGCAGATAGATGTTATAATCAACCAGGATAGGTAATTTGAAGAAGTGGAAAGATCTTAATGGTTGGAATGAACTTGATAACTCTAAATAAGACAAAATATGCACTTTTTACTTCCATTATTGTAAGCGCACCTCTCTGAGACCGCCTTTTTCCCCAACTATAGCTGTGTTGACGCAGTGAATGAAAGTATGATTATGCATGAAAACGTTTAGAAGTATGCCCAAGTACTCCGCAAAAATGGTTTACTTAAGCAGCATCTAGTGGGCATATGTTTTTTGACATAATTAACCCACCATTTTCAAGGAGTTTAAGTCACAAACACAGTAGTGTACCACTTTTGACGAAACAAAACGCAATATTATAGGCAGCTTCACACCTCTGGAAGCCTAGTAAAAACACCAAAGCACTAAATGTGTTTAGCTTATGTTTCACATAGCCTTGCGGAGCATTAATCTCAAGTCATTCCTTCTTTTTTGTTTTGCAGAAGGACTGCCCATCTGGTCAGCTTAATCGACGGGCCTTCCTGGATATGTACACGCACTTCTTCCCCGACGGAAAGGCTAAGGACTTCTACGCCCACCTTTTTCGCACCTTCGATCAAGATAACAGTGGCCAGATCGATTTTTCGGAGTTTCTCTCCGTAAGAATGCAGTCGTTTCCACGAGCAGTAACTTGATCGCTGGGTTGACCAAATAAGTGGATTAGTTCTCTGCCAACCCACCTCCCATTCAGCTTGTGATCTGGTGTTTATTTGAAGTGGCCACTCCGGCACTCTTGCCAAGTGGCTACAAATCTTAGTTTCTTGAGGAGTTGTGATTTAAAACTGATGGTTATTTTAGTGCATGATGCATTAGAATAAACGACTGTTAAAAACATTGGACCGATTCGTCCACACGCACATACGTATCCCAAACTCGACGTGTAACTATGAAATGCCCTTCTTTATTCTAAAGGTAAAAGCATTCCGTCGGTCATTTATTAATCATTTAAGCCTCTATGCCTTTTGCTACGATGTAAAATTCGACTTCATTCTTAAAATGCTGTCCATTTCCTTCAATTCAAGTCTTCATTTGCAATGCAGTAGGTCCTCGGCCAGCCCATAAAGTCATTTTGTATGGAGCTTTTGATTGTCAGCATTTTCCATTTACTGTCGGCATTAGGAGGTAACGACTACCCCTCGTGACAACCGGACTTAGCCAAGATGACGCTAAGCTTTCGTCATTTCTTTCCTAAAGTTCTTGTGGCGATCTGTATGGTTACATCTTTTTTGCAACTAAACACCTTCTTACTCGACTGGTGCAACATTTTGCCTTTGTCCGGGTTGAATAACGCATTTACTGTGCTCTTCTTATAGGTTCTGTGTTGTTCTGGAAATGCAAATCCATATTTTTTATTATTCATCACGAGTCACTTAAATGAGACTTGTAGTCAACTAAGGACAATTCAAGCTAAGAATTTACTTGAGCATATTTATTTGCATAAGATTGCACGTAGGGAATGCAGACAATTGCTATACCTGTACTTACACTTTCTTCAACTATGACCAACATCTCGTTCTTACGCGCAATTAACGCCTGACGAAGAAGTAGTGTCTGCCTTTTCCTCAAGGCTTTCTGTACACTTATGGTGCCGAAGCAGTTAATTCGGTCAGTAATGGAATCCACAAATAGGGTGTAGGCGACATTAATGCGGACAAGTTCAGCGCCGAGGGTCATTCGCCTGATTTATCCATACACACTCTCCGGTCCCAGCAGCCGAACGGGCATTCAGTGCTTTGCCTTGTAGGCCATCAGCATAACCCAGAGCGGTGGTCCTGAGGAGAAACTTGGCCTTGCCTTTCAACTCTACGACATTGACGGGAACGGACATATTGAGGAGTCAGAAATGAATGAAATCATCAAGGTATTGCGACATTTACTGCCCCGTAAACCTTCTTCTTGACTGTGAAGTCATAAACATAGAATACCTCGAATTCGGTTAGACATAAAACTAAGCGAAACGCTCAGTTATTTACATTTACTGTATTAACTGGATTTATTGCAAACCATCAGCAGTCATCTTTTTTTTGCAAAATTCGTTTACTATGAGAGTTCCTTTATAAACACAGTTGCTGCTACGTACCACCGCTAGCAAGGAGGGGCAAAACAATGAACAACAATTCGGAAGCATTCTCGCCTTCCATTTAAAAAGTGGTGAAATTTTTTGAAAAATGCTTTAGTTTCGGTGAATAGCAGCTGATTGAGGTGTGAAGTGAGGAGCCGCTGTTTTGGAGATCCGGTTTGAAACTCTACGCAGGAGGGTGCATCTTCGCCACGTAACTTGAGTGCGGCAATTCAACTTGACTGGTAGTTGAAGCGCCCTTCAGTGGATGTCTGCTGAGTTGTAAACGCCAGTTCACTGACTCCAATGCGATTCAGAAGCAGACAGGAAGAAGCACTCACCTTTCCTCACATAAAAACTTTTGTCGAGGAGTGGCTTTCAGATAACTTACCTACGATCCTCGTAGTCCTCGTGAATCTTCGTCTTAAAAGGTGGTGGTATTCAGAAGCCATTAGTCTTAGTTTCCATCTGAATTTGTTTTTGCCTCAAAAACTGTGCAATGACATCAAAAGTAGACTTTTGGATGCTAAACGGATAGGTGAAGCTGCATTCGTATTTAATCGCGATGGCTTTTTATTCGACAAACACACTGATACCTCCATTTCTACAGCTGCATTTTTTTGGAAATACTCAAAAAACTTGGAGACGCATTTTAATCTTCCAACGTGATTCTACCACGCACGGGAAACTATAGTTATGTTTTTGTCGGACTTAAAGTTCAGATAAGACCGGATGGATAGCAAAGTTTTCATGAAAAGTGGTACTACCGGCGGATAGTTCATTTATCAGCCCCGCAGTATTGGATCCTACCGAACAGCTTACAGTTGGCTAATCGTGCGCTTTGCTGACACGCTTGCCTTTTGGCAGGAGGTAGTGTGCAATTAAATAAGATCATCCTAAATTGCAAGGCTATTGCGTTGAAGTGTGGCCAGAGATTGAAATTGAGGCTTTTTTCTACAGCATTTCTTTAGTCCACTAAACCAGGCTGTAATGATATGTTGAAAGACATACAGCACAGGAGCTAAGATGTTTAATGTTTTGGTGGCATCAGGATCCCGAAAGTGACTAGTAGACAGTTCTGATGGCATTAGGAAAGGAGCAGTTTGAAGCGGCTTACGGTAGAAAGTATCTGGCCTGCCACTTTTGTGTGCCTTCGAAGGCCTTCTAACCATGTTGGATGACCAGATTTGTCTTACTTAGTTTCATCCTAAGTGGCCTTCAAGTGGAAATACTTTCCAATGTTTTGTTTATTTACATTCTATGCACATGTGGGTGAAGCGCCACGAAGGATTGAATCGTCGAGTTGGGACAATTGGTTTAGCTATACCTAGAGGGGCTTGACTCAAATTCCAACTCAGTGTTTTTGCATTAACATGCACCCTATGAATGAAATAAGCAAAGTGATTCCAAGTGAAAATGTTTTTTTTGTTCGAATCCAAATTAAACCCCTAGGTTTTTGTTTCCGAAATTTTGGTGGGGTCTTTCTAATGATTGATGAAGAACCGCGCACAATATACCCACCAACCAAGGTCACCAGTCTAGAGAATTCATTAGAATAGAATTTTTTGTTGAATTATCATTACTTTTTCCTTTGAAATCCCACTGGATGTGCGAACATAGTAGCGTAAACTTTACAATAAAATCCGCACTTCCTAACCATTAGTAAATCACCAGTGACCTTTCGTTTAGTTCAGCTGTTAACTTCCATTTTCCCTCAAAAAAGTGTTCTGATAGTGAAAAAGATCGATTTCGAATATGATCTCATTCAGTAACAAACATGTTCTACAGGCTTTAGATCCCAATGCACCTCCATGAAATCTTGTTATAGCGTAGTTAATGTAACATCTAGTCTGTCTCGGAATTCGAAAAGCACTGTAATTACGAGGTATTGAATCACGTCTGATGCTGCTCCTACTAGGCCATCTACCTGATGGTGGGCGAGACGGACCCCAGTCCCGAGAACAGTTCGGAAGTGAGGACACACGCGATATTCAAGAAGATGGACCTCAACTCCGACCACGTTCTCTCCAAGGAGGAGTTCATTCGAGGCTGCATCAACGATGAGCACCTCTATAACCTGCTGGCCAGTGCCGGCAGTTAGCTCAGTTGGAGATCCCGCCCCAATCACGCACCCCACGCTCTACCCCCTCCCCATATTTACCAGTCCCCCATTTTCCACTGTTCGCCCACTTGTCTTGTATAAAAAGTCGGATTTCGTCTACTAGCACTGACATGGAGTTACGCTCATCTGCTATATATAATAGCCATTTAGGATATCTGCACAAATACAACGGTGATTCTTCTCTCAACAGATTGATCTCAACATGCTAGGGAGAATGTAGCTACAGTAGCATTGCATGCAATAGGAACCCACTTACCGATTAGTATAGTGCATGGGATCTATATACACTAAAACTTGGGCGAAAACTTTCCACTCAAAAACTTGTCTGCCTCGCCTAAAGGGCGAAAAGCGTAATGTAAATGAGAATAGGAATTATCTTTTAATCATACCTCTCCCACGAATGCTTATATCGCAGTGCATCTCGAGAAAAACCGTCCAGTTGTAGACTAGTTTAATCTACCGTATCCGCGTAGAATTCTGGAAGGAGTGAAAACATGGCGGTTAAAAAAGCTTCAGAAACAGTAATTTTTCATTAAGTTACAGGCTTTGATTCAATGCACACACTTGATCGTCACTCATGATTGGGGAAACGGGATTCACGATCTCCTGCTAATTGGGAAAAGATGATGGTTTTGTGACTTGAGTATCTTGTCTGAAGTAGTGGGGTGGTTGACTTCGGTAAGGTAAATTCCGAAGAAATTCTGTCATGTTACAATAAACATTGTGCTATTTGGTATCAAAGAGTCGCACTAGATAGCTGGAGGTTTTGTAGGCAACTGACTTTACAGCGAACTGCTGTTAATCCTACTATATAAAACTAGCATCCAATAGGCAGCACAATTAATCCACCTCAATGACGGTAATTGCGGCTGCGATGGTGGCTTGACCATGGCTTAACTCGGTGTTCCAGGAAACTTCCACCTGGAAATGATCCATGTAAACGACACTGGCCCTGTTTGCTAATCACACGTATGCAATATCACAGTCGAGTCCTTTCCACTTTGGCCAATAAGAAGGGTAGAAAAGTAAAACCTATATGATATTAGCACTGTGATCAGATACGGCATGTGTTCACAGACTTCCTGTTGGTTATCTGAGCAGAATCACAAAACATTTTCGTGTGTTTAATAAGTTTCTACTTCATTTCATCTAACTGGGTAGCTGCACATGAAACCAGAGTAGTCAGTCTGTCGTCCTACGGGCCTAACATAGCGATGCATCGCAGTGACCGTGCAACCAAAACCACGATCTATGCAAACAATCAACGTATTACAGAAGTTTATTTGTGTGTTACCACCATCTTGTAAACATTCTCAGGGAGGTCACCATCCTGTGACATCAATTTTTAGTTTGACGTGTGGGCGTAAAACTTTTACCTATAACTAGCATACGGGATAGGTACGAGGAGGTGGATTTGATCTCATTAATTTATTTGAAATTTTTCTCAGAACCGTTAAATTTTAGCCACCACTGATTCGCGATGAAGTGGAGTTTCATGACCACCGGAATAATATCTCGCCATATATTTAGGTTTTCCCAAATAAAATCTACATTAAGTCATAGCTGCCGTAAGAAATCTGAGGCACACTCTACTTTTCCAGTCTCCCCGTCACGAAATTGTGATCGTTGCATCCATTCCCGCCTTCCAAAAGAACAATAGCTAGGGTGCATTCGGAGCTGCCTCAGAAGAAAGCTCAATTCGCTGTGACACTGGATCACGACTTTAGTAGGTCTACAATTTATTCAGGAGTGCATTAATTCGTGCTGTATTACAACAAGGATAATTTAAGCCACCGGAATAGAATTATGAATGTTTGCACTCTATTTCAGAAGTAGAAATGTGGCCGAAATTCTAACAATTCTATCATATTTCAAGATTTGTGGCGTGAAATTGACAAGCCTGTCAACCGTGAGTCCATTCGGTCATGTCCTTCCACGGGGAATGTCTTATAAACAGCCACGTCCATCTTAACCTAAACAAACGTACCTTCAAAAAGGTAGCTCAAAATTAGGGTTAAATGTATCCTTCGTATTTATTTATGACACGAACAAACACCGGCTCGCTAATGTCTTCTGTGCCATCTAAACGTGCAAATGTATCTCGTTAGCATGCGTTCAAGTGGTGTGATTTTTGTTAGCTCTGCGTATGCTCCACTCATCTCCTCATATCAGTTCAATTCTTGTAATTCACGAATGACTCTGGGCGAAGACGCCAACAAGATAGTTCAGTGAAAAGTTGACTATCAATATGATAGAATGCGCGGGATCTTCAGCCCTCGCAACCTCGGTTCCCATATCACCGGTATAGTAGCCCGTCGGAGCCGTTTCTGTCAACAAAACGTCAACCGTTCTTTACATTAAAAATAAAGCTCCATTCATAACCGTGGATTCTAGAAGGCATAGCAACGTTAAGCGGCCTTAGATTGCGTAAACAAAGACTCCAAATTGGCTGGAAGGATTTTAAACCCAGGCAGCACAGAAAAAGGAATGGACTGTTTCCACTTTCGGCAATCACCCCACTCTTGTGCTCGTGGGAAGACAAGCAGCAACTGATACGACATCAGGCTTGATCGCTTCGAAAATGTGCACCGTGAAGCATGCAAATGAAAGCCTCAACTGCCCTAAAAGTAGAATGGAATCCAGACAAAGTGGATGACGGCTTTGAAATAAGGACAAGGTGGTAAAGGAGAATGAATGGAGAACAGTAGCTGTATAAAGACAATTTAATTTATGCTTTAACAAGTGGCTCTGCTTCTGGGCGAATCTTTCTACCAAAAGCGATTCCCATGGGAAACTTGCTCATTGTAGAGCGGTACAAAGGCACTAGGTTCTCTCAACGCAGTCCACAAGGTGAACGAAAACTGCGATTCATTGGAATTCACAAAATACATCAGTGGAGTTGGAATTGAAAACTTTTCGCTCACAAAAGACAGCAAATAATCCCCATTTCTGACTCATGAGCAGTTTTCAAAGCACGAACTACGTCGCGATAACTAACGTCGAAGAAAGAGAAGTCATACGACGAAACAGTCTTGACCTTCATGCCGGTGTTTACGCTCCGTTAGCAGCATTTCCTTTGATAGCACCCCAGTTGTTTCTGCACACCCATGGATATTTAGGGAGGACTCTGATTCTCGAACGGTATTGGTAACGAGGCTACATCAGAATGTGTCTGCTTCATATGCCCTATTCCCTGGTTATCTCATCTGAATCAATCCATACAGTTCACTCCCTCATAAAGAACCAAACCCGACCCCATGTAAAACAACGGGACAAGTAAATAGGATACCTCTACTGTTGAAGTAAGATGGAACAAGAAAGATTAAAAGGTGGGTATAAAACAATCACCGTCTAGCACTTTAAAACTTTTCATAGTTCATTGCTATTCTATCTATTGGCGGATAAACGGATCGTTGGCCTCAGAGACGAGGAAGGACATACATGCTGGTAAACATCATCAGCGGGGCACCAGTGGAGGGAGTGTCAATGAGACCAGCACTGCTAGCGATGTCAAGATGCGTATATGGTAATTGCTTCATGTCACATCCTAGTCCGTGCTATACAGAAAAAGGGTAGTTCGATTAATGAGTGAGCACCAGAAAATAAGTCAACTTTAAGGTAGACGGATGTAACGAATGAAGATTTTTGCACAGCTGCACTTGTTGACTTTCGAGCAAGATCACGGCTTAATAGACCAAATCCCTAGCTGTAAGGGTAAAAGAGAAAACCACCTTGTCCAAGCCGCTAGCGACAATCATGAAGGCGGCGGGAAACTGATGCCCACGAGGAGTTTCACTGCTAGGAAGATTATTGCACTGAAGGAGATCCTCGTACTCGGTATGACCCTTGACGACTTCGTAGTCTTCCCTGCGAATTGTCGAGATCTATGGTCACATAATATACAAACTTAGCCTTTTCTTGGCTTTTACACCATGGGTCAACAATTAAAATGTTATCGCATTAGTACCTCAGCAATGTCAGAGACTTGATCGCCAGCCCTCTGCAGGTCGCTGGCGACATTGCGCTTGCGTGCGGGACCGTTTTCCATGACAGCCTAGAATGGAAGTACAAACTCCGTGTGACGTGTGTGGACATGTGCAGTAGTGGCTTTGATTTGATGAATGGGGAAGCTTACAGTGTAGCATTTATAAGCGCGAATCACGTGACCAGTCAGTGTAGCAAATGTAAAAAGAAATGGATTGACGGCATTCAGTGCCTACAATGAAAACCAAGTTTAACATATGAGAAGTTCTGAAAAATGCCAGATTATTTATGTATACGGGTCCTGGCGAAAATCACCACTACACGTAGACACTACTTTTCACGATTTCAAATTTCAACTCGATGTTTCATCGTACGTAATAGAATTTATGCAAATAATAGCACCACCAATGGGTAGCTCAGGCCTTCGTAATAAACAATAGTTGGGGATACACAGGCATTAAAGTGACTGGAATTATGTTATATCCAACATTTTACTGTCTTCATATCAACCAATTGGGACTATTGCATCACACAGCAGTGATGACTTAGTTGAACTTCCTAAGATGCTGTACTTTAGAAAAAGTTGGAAGCAATTTCCTAATTTTAAGCTCCGTTCAGAAGGCTTGCCGCTCACGTGTCTTCGAAGGTTTCCGTGAAACTATTGTACAACATGCTTTACCTGTTTCTTTGAAAGAGAGGAAGATCAGAAAAATAAAATCAACACCTGTGTCAATTAAATAATTTATAAAGCATTGGTAGTGGAATTGACAGCCATAAAAGCGTGTGACCATTTTTTGCCGGACCACTGACGCACTGTAACCAAAAGATGAAGTAAATACCTTTAACTTCGACTTGTTGAATCGACTGTACTCAATGCAGAATTCCTGTGATCGCAACAAAAGCACTTTAGTGTCTTTGACGCAGTTCCTCATATAGATGGTACAAATCCAGCATGGACTCCTTTATTCAAAACTAAGTGACTTAACCACTTCGACATCCGCCTGTCGTCAATGCATCACGTGCATTCCCGTGAAACTGCAAATGCAGTCTACAAGAAAGCTTTCTGAAAAATTGCAATCCATTGGAACAGAAGGAGAGCACCTCCGCGCCTGGTAGACAACGGGTAAAATCGTAAGCGAAAAAGGAGTCCGTCATTTAAATTCATAGAAATTTACCAGTATTTATGGGAAACAAATTTGTAACCTGGATGACTATCAAGATAATCAACTTAGTATTAGCACATTCAGCAGTCAACAAATTCATTTTAAGACTTTTTAGAGGAATATTCGCTTCACAAATATGATTTCGCCTAACACCAGTTGTGTGATGAGACACCCTGTTGCACATGTAATTTTAAAATAAATGAAACCCGCCCATGAATCCTCTGGTACTGTCCCTCCCCTCAGACAGATGAATTGTAGACGCTTCCAAGGTGAGCACTTCATGGTGAAATATAATAACCTGCTCAACATAGTTAAAACAAACATTGGATTCACCTGTTCTTTAGCCTCACAGAGCAGGTCAGTCATTACCATACGCCCCTCAGCGTCGGTGTTACCCACGCGGACGCGTCGACCAGCGCGTGAGGTGATGATCTCGTCCGCCACGTAACCATCGGAACCGATGCTGTTGCGCACAAGGGACAGCGCACCGTAGACACAGAGGCCCTTCGGCTTCAGCAGACTCAGCGTCTTGAAAAAGCCCGCTATTGCTGCTGCGCCTGACTTGTCTCGATGCATGCCCGCCATCACACCTCCCGCCTTCACGTCCACACCGCCAGTGTCGAAGGTGATGCCCTTGCCAACTAGAAAAAGTGTTGTGTCCACCGTCGAACCGCCCGTATAACTCATATGAACCACCTTTCCGTTGTGCCGCTTAATTCCTGAACCAGTTTGGTGGTGTCATAATTAGTGCAAAAATCGAGAGACTGCACAGAAGGAGTGACTAACTCACCCGAAGCCGCTCTATTAACGGCGGCCATGAGAGGGTATGCGCAGGCCTCGACCTCCTGCGTCTCCAGCACCACCTCGGCCGAGGAAGAAAATTCATCCTTTAGGTATTCAACAATTCGAGGGGCAGACATTCGTTCCGGGTCCGATCCGGCGATGTCGCGGGCCACGCGTCGGCCCTCCTCTATCGCATAGGCCACCTTTAATATCTTCTCCGAGGCACCAAACACCGACAGACAATCAAACTTGGTCGACTTCTCCGGAAACGCTTCACGCAGTTCAAGTGGCTAAAGAGGAAAACCTTCAACATACCACTCTATCTGTACATTTGAGGTCATGATAAAGAGGTTTCTACAACCGAAACCCTTAATGTATGCTGAAAGGCATATCTTACGTTGTAGAGAGCGTGTAGAGCACCAATAATGGCGTTGAGGAGTGGAAACTCTTTCTGCATCCAGACAGCGTCTTTTGGTCCTGATGCAATGCCTCCGAGTACCAGGAGAGGTTTCCGGCAACCAATATGATGTGCTCTACAATGCGAAGGCACAGCTTATATCTTAGTTACTACTAAAGGCCAAAGATTCATAATAAGACATCTTTACCTTTTTGGGCTAATATATAGCAATGCTGCCTAAACTTATCTAACAACTTATAACCCTCGCTTTTCACAGCAATCGCTCACCGAAATTGGGAAAGATTTTAGAAACTCTCTTTGATTGTCTGTCAACAAGACAAAATTCTGTTTGCATTCATCACAGTTGACATACTTTTTGAGAGCTTTGAAAGCTGCATCCGAAATGTTACGGCTGTCTGCAACATCTCCATGGAGGGCCCCAGTAGAAGAGTAGATCTGAAGTAAAAAAAACAACCAATACAATCGTTTTCTTGGTAGATTAATTTTTACTCATACCATAAATGAAAATCAAATTGAGATCATATTCAAGGCCCTATCTTCAGATGTTTGTTTTGTCGAAAACAGAGATGTGTTTCCTGCAGTTCGGATTTGACACCGGAATTCAGCCGTGGGTGGATATTTGTATATCATGACCACCCATACTATAGGTAGGCTCAAGGTCATTCTGGATGGGCCGCAGAACCCGTGTGTGAGTTAGTAAACATTTACGGAACAAGCGTGAGTTAAAAACATCTCAGGGAGGAGTCTAGAGGCTAGAGCTGTTCGGCGAGAAATTCAGTAAACCTCAGTTGACTCCATTACATCCCACGGGATGACCTCATGCTGCGAAGAGGCACAACATTTGGACAGATCCCATGAACATTCAGATAGCCTCAGTGCCTGGCATCAGACCCGAAGTGCCGAGCTGGAGATAGTTAAGATCAACAGACACTAAGGTAAAATCGCCATTTTAACACATTAATCTGAAAACAACCCCATTTTATGCTTTTTTTCTGTGAGGATGTCCATCAAATTCATGGGTTAATTTACCAGTTTCGTGAAACCCCACACTATAAGAAGCGCGGCTGTAGTAACTGATTCACTTAGACATTAATACGAGGCTGCCACCTGCATTCAATGAAGGCAGGGCATTAGTGACCAATGTTGACCTCACACTTCGGCCAGTGAAATGCACACTCATACGCACGCTGGTACTAGTTTGAATAAATGTAGGCACTCACCAATCTTTGACAGCGGTGCTCGAGGAATGGGATAATCTCACACGACTCGAAGAATTTAGGATTTACCTGAAATTAAAAGATGTTGTCCTGTTAGCTGACAGGAGGCACGCCCACTAACATCGGTTTGGCTTTAGTCACACTTACCTCCTCGAATTTGGTGAGGGCTTTTTCAATCGAAGAAAATTCTGACCCAAGTGATCGAATGGTGTCGTTGACGAAAACAACGACGTCACAGTCCGCGCCGGCAACGCTTGAGCACGACTCCAACGACATGGCGAGAATGACGCCCAAAACCGGCTCCGTTAACAAAGAATCGCCTGATATAAGCCCCTGCTCCACTATGATTGGCTGATCAGTCACCAATCCCCTGCAGATTTGCAATGGATGTGGTCAATCGCTATTGCAGTCCACGCCTTTGTCAAGTCCTATGTGGTTACGCAGCACGCAACTCGGCCTCTCAACCAGTCAGTTCGTTACGTTTGACCCCACTCTATTCTAGCGTCATTCACCGGTAGGGTGGTTGACTAACATTGTGGCTTGATCCGCTTGCCTCCAAATAGAGGGAACAGTCTCTTCTTGCTTCATGGGTGAAACACTAGCTGCGCGAAGGACTAAAGATGTCATTGCATGCATGACCTGTGGTGATATTGAGTAGAGAGAATAAGGAATAGGTGGTTTTTCCACATTGGTCCCCAAATGTTTTTGAAAGACTGAGAATGCTATTTAGGCTAAGATTGGAAACGTGCATGTGTCCAGAGAGGCGCTGAAAGAAGAATGAAGTATTGTGTGGTAGCGCCGCAGTGTTTCACCAGGAGATGTAAAATTTGTGGGTGAATTAATACTCTTTGAAGAATGAATGAAGGAACAGGAACACGCTCAAATTAAACAACATCAACCACAGTGTTTAATTTATACCCCTTAGTCTTTTATCGCTGAACTGAATATTTTCTCATCGTATCCACACAGGCATGGTCAATCTCGGCGTATCAAATTGACGAGGTGTCAAATTTCGCCCATTTCTTGACCTTAGCACTTCATCAGAAGTTGTGAATAATATCGCCTGATTTAGGCTAAGAATTACGCCAAGTGAAGTGAAGTCGTCTGTTGGGCTATAAAAGATGTAGTAAATCGGTTTGACTATAAAATCAGGGAAATCCTGTTAGAACCGTTGGAGTTCTGTACAGAATTTGTGCACTCATTAGCATCAAATGCCTGTGTATCTTCACTTCGTTTACCATCTCGAAGGTGAATTTATTGCTGTGTTTAGTTTCCAGCTTTTTAAATGGACAAAAGAATTTATTACATCAACAGTGCTTACAAATCAAGTTCGCATTTTGTTTGCGTTGGGGTCGCAGATCTACAAATGAAATTGGCAACATGATTGAAACAATTGTTCCAGCACGATGACATGGCAACAACAACAATGTATTCTCGAGTCTTAAATCTTGGCTAAAATACCAATAAACTCTGGTGGAAATACAATGCTAAAATACTGCTAAAATAGCACAATACTTAACATCTCTGCTTTTACGACCACTGACAGAGTGCTCCTGGAAACAACCTTTACCACTGTTCATTTTACAATTTACAACAAAAATTATTGCTCGCTATAAATCCACGAAGATAATGGGCCACACATTGATTAGTTGACACGGAAGCCGGCGACTGGCGAGTCGACGTGACTTGGATGGCTCACTAGACCAGCATGTCGGGCTACTTGACCGACTGACCCCGAGTGAACATCTGTTTGCTAGTGTTTGGCTCACCATGTCCTCACAAGCTAAGATTTGTTCCAAGGCTACCGGATGACCCCGGATGAAACTGACCTCGGTATGAGAGAAGTGGGTGCAGCACTGGATTAGTTGCTTTATGGGGGAATAAATAAAGCCTAATCCTGTGACATCAAATTTGTGATACATGTTAAAAGGCGAGTTATCATGACTATGACTGTGGCCGTGAGATAATAGTAGTACCATCATGCTCACCAACCCAACCGAAGGTAATGTTTTGAGTTGTTCTACTGGAGACAGCGTCATTCCAAAAAAGGGGTTATGCTGACCTTAGACATATAAGTCTGGCCGACACAAATCAAGAAAAACGTTTCTTTGTGAATAAGATTAACAGGCTGTCGTGGAGACTTTTGTGTTTCTGATGCAAATTTCTGTCTTACCCCTCATTTCCCGTATTTTGCACTTGAAAACCAACACCAAGCAGACGGACCCGTGTCTCTGCCTTTATATCGTTTTAGACAGTAAATGCCTTTTTGTATTATCTCCCTACAACGTGAACCAGGCATTCCTATCGTGGATCGAACTCCTACTTGACGTATGCCTCGTCTATAGTCCCGTTTCCAAATGCATCACGAAAGGCTTTGAAGTTCTGTGTTCAAATAACAGTCAAACTGCTCACTTCCCATCCCGACGGATAGAAAATGTTCGAATTTACGTTTCATAATATTCTGAAGTGCATGTGCAAAAACATTCACACACTTCTGCATCACCCTGCTAATCCGTTAGAAATGGGCCACTCTGTTGAGGTATATATAAGTTTTTTATCAAGAAGACTGAAAGATCACAAAAGATGTACAAAGCACTTGGCCTCAATTTCTTTTAGTATGTGTTTACCGCAAGTGAGTTGTTTTGCATGGCACTAACCTTCTAAGTGAGCACAAATTAGGCAGAGAATTTGTGCCGACTTGTCAGTGTTAACGAACCATCACTTCCTAGTCCGTTTTCCTTTTCGTCCTTCACCACTGGAACATCTTGACCCCTAAATGTAGTAGACCGCCTTGAGTGTTGCGCTGTTGGACCTCACTGAACCAATTGTCGTGATTGTCGAGTTGGGAAATGAAACCCTGTACCCTCTTCCCAGCTGTACTAGCGCACTAATGCAGTGAAAGGTCGCTAATCAACATTTTTCACTGCTGGGTCGTGACAGACATATGCTTATTTGTTCAAAGCTGACTAAACGCCGAATCGTTGCGATTCTGGAACTGATTTCGGAAATTCTGTTCCTTTTGTTACATTTTTCATTTAATTGTCTAATTATCTCTCTGTGACACTGTACAACGCACTCCCAGTCAGGTTTCACGATGTGCCCATGTCTTTTTTGAAGGATAAGTAAGACAGGAAAAATCAGAGTTGAGTATGGTGAATATACTGAAAAAAACACATGGTAATTTTAGGTCACTTTTCAACTTTGTAAGATTAGTTGTATTAACTTATCTCTTCGAAAACCTTTTAGCACCACTTGCAACAAGAGTGGATTATTTCAAATCATGGAATAGCGTAGCACATGAATTACTCGCGGAGGCACAAAGAGATGTCAAAGTTAGCAAATACCATTTCAGTGAATATCTCCGGTGGAAAGTCCAGAAGTACTTGCGATTCCGTTAAGAAAATTGTGAGGTTTTAGGCTTAGTTACGTTGAAAGCGTAAACACGAGAGGGGAAAAGGTCTACGTTAATTTCTAGGAAGGCATAGATTGACAGTTGCATTAATTATTCGTTAAATAGGTTATTGATGTTAAACATTCAATTCTTCAATTTAATATACTTAAATGAATAATCCCAAAGATGACCGAAAGGACGTAACCTTTAGGGTGTTCTGTGAGGTATAAAGTCGTGCATGAAGACTTACAAGGCCTTGTCATTATGGACGAGGATTTGCTACTAGCGTATGGAAGGTCTCGGGGGCCGTAAGCGCGGAGAGAATGCTGTCCCATCAAATAGTGTACAGTTTTTACAAAAGTACCGACAATATTAACTGTATAATTTCGACAAAATAGTGACTGCATCTAGTTAATGGAAAGAAGGATTTATCAATAGTTTGTTTTTTACTGAGTAAAAATCAGTATAAGGAGTTACCTTAAAATTGCCGGCAGATTGTTGCAAGGTGGAAATTTACGAATGACTTTGCCTTTTTAGTTCAGTGAGTTGTAACTAAAGCGCTATCTGAAGATTACTCGTGCACACCATCAGGAACTTATTAAACCATAAAACCCATGTCCATCCGCTTCTCGTATACTCGATGGAATGGACTCGATTTGAGTAAAGTGACTTCGATAAGCCATACTTCTTGCCACTCTTAATAAGGAATTTCAATTTATTCAAGAATAAATATATGCTTTTCTGATAAAAAGCTGCGCATAAAGAATCATCCATTGTTTGAGGCCTGATATTCCGTTATCCTCCAGCAAAGCGAAAATGGGCTGGATGGACTGAGTAGCCCCATCAGGTCTGCTGCGACTGGCAGTTTTAGTCAAAATTCCGGGTATTTTTTATCAAATCCTCTTAGACGCAAACATAATCACATAACAATGTTTTAAGTTAAAACCTAATAAACGGTTTCGGGCTATTTGCTTAGTACTGCGATGAAAATACATTGAGACGTACATGGACATAATTTCTCTATCTAATTGCTCTTTTATTGCATACTATGAAATGCAAGTGGCCTCTTCTGCTGCTATCAAATCGGTTTATATTATGAGATACTTCTTTGCGTGCAATTTTGCTATTCGGGAGAACAATGTGTGGCTAAGTAAAGTCGTCGACCCGTTACACGTCACAGCTGCCATTGAATCGCCGAATTGAGGCTGCGATGAAGTGGCAAAGGCAGGCGAATACGTACGAGCGAGTGCGTACGTGTGCGTTCAACATTCCCTCCTCCTCCCCTTTCCGCTACCGCCACCACCCCCAACTCTGCCGTCTCTGCCTCCGCCTCCTTCTAGGGGGACGGACACGCTGCAGTCGGGAGATAAGAGCGATGGCCAGACAGGCACGGCACAGAAACCAATCATAAATTGGGTGATTTTACAGGCTTGGCCTTGACAAAAGTTTCTGCAACTGAAGCTGTAACAGCAGCACCCCAACTACGTACCACTACACATTTAAAGGTAATTTATTTTACCGTAAACTTGATACCAATTTTTTTTCCTGCTCTTGGCTATCCTCCGAGTTTTGTGGATTTGTGTTACTTTCCTCCAACAAACTTTGCTTTTCCATTCTAGTGGCAAAAGTATATCATGTACTCATAGCCATCGCGCCGACTGTTTTTTCTGCCTTGAATATCATTTCATTCAGGTCAGTCGCGCATACCCACTTTCTGTCTAAAGTTAGTGTGTATCATTTAATACGTGGGCAGATGACTCCATTACTCCCTTCTGCGAATTTGGTAAAAAGAAACAGGGATGTAGAAGGGAGAATCCCTTTTCGACAGACTCACAATTATTTACAGTTGAAATACAATGTGTCGAAATGAAAGCCGTAAATGAAATATGGATTGCAGATTGGAAATGCTTTCACCAAATTCGGCCATCAGTTTCATTGCTAATTAGATACGAATTATTCAAACGAACACAATTATCTTCGGACAGATAATTTTATTTACAAGCAGCTATGTATTTCTGCATATCCTCGAACAAAGTGGCTTGTTAAAAGTTGCAGGTGGTTCGATTTAAGAAAGACGATTAAATTACTTCCCCTAGGATGACTGCTCAAGTGCAAAGAGAAGCTTTCTATATTTTTTTGAATACACTAATGCTCCAAATCTATTTGTCAACAAAAATACCGTTTAATCGCTTAAGAACTAAACATTATTTCCCATATATTACTTCGGCATCATTTTTATTTTTAAAGGAGATGCAGGTTTTGCAAAGTTGCCTCATTTGCCACTAGCATGAGTTGTAAAATAGCCCATTTTTTTGCTTATTATATGGCGTAATTTTAATTAAATTTTCCTTTAAGGCGCCAGTTTCTTTTAGCTTCGCATCTAGTTTGGAGACATGATATCCGCCTCTATAGTCCCAAATTTCCATTCTATGCTCCCTAAAATAGGATAACTTACTATTTCTGCAACGCAAAGTTGACCTCATAATCAAAAATAACTCCAGAAACTAAAAAATTGAGTAGATGATGTGATAAACTCCCTCAAAATTAGTGGGAATATTGGTCCCAATTAGGGCTTGAAAAACTTTAGTACTGGGTAGGTAGCAGCGTTACGATCTCAACAACTTCACTATTAACACTTTACCGGGTAGCGTTTTTGTTGTCTTTCCTCAGACTTAGAATAAGATACCACAAAAAGGGTTAAAGCTTTAATAACCATTCCTTTCAGCCGACTTGTAAGATTTTGCTTTTCGGCAAATTCATCTCAGGAAATTCTGTAAATTAGCTGGAATATTGGGACTAAGGCAAATGTCTTATCCGTGCAGGTAAAATCAGATATACAAAGAGGGTATGCAAGCACGATATGCTTTAAACAGTTCAGAGGAAAGAGATGAAAGAGTTAGTTGGAGCAGTTCTTCGGCCGGAGGTCTGGCTGCCGTCGCTGCTCCCACCCCAGAATTCCTTTCCCGGTTCCGCTCTCAGCACCACCATCACTACCATAGCAGGACGGAACATCCGCCTCCGCTGCCGCCATTGCAATCACCACTGGCAGCCTCCTCATCCGAGCACCACCATCATCATCACTACCTAAGGTCACGGGAGTGGCACAATCACAATGAAGCTTTGACGCATTCACATTCATCTCCGCCTGAGAAGTATCGCCTGTCGCCAACTAAGACACTAGGGATTGGTGAGTGTGGCGTTTAGTTATATGCATAATTTTATCTTTATTCAAAGCCTACTTAAATGGGGTGCAAAAGCTTTTCTTGGTAAAAAATGAGCAGAATGAGTACGGTAACACAAAAAACTGTTTGTATAAGTAATATGTATGCAGAGTCCATTAGCCACAGCCTCCGGAGGCAGCAGCTTGTAAACACTGCTTTCATGTTTTACGTTAACCGTAAATCATTATAGCTGATTTGTATTTTTAACAAATTAAATGATATTCTGATTACCAACCCTTATTCATTTCGAACGCACATAAGAAATGTCAAAATAAATACGACTTCATAATGTGAAAACGGCAAATGACGTGTCTCGAATGAGATGAGTGATTGGGCGTTCGACGACCCAGGCGAGCCTCTAACCCTGTCAAAGTGAATTGGAGTTCCTTTTTTAAGGGCATAATTACATAGCCTTATCACAGTGGAGTAGCTCTTATATCCGTACACTACCCGACCAAAGAAAGTAGCTAAGACGTTCAGCAAAGCGCAGTTGTGTTGGAAGTGTACGCCTCCCATGGCGAAGACAGTATGAGAATTCGTTGTGACCGCAGTGACCAGAACTTGTTGACAACATTTGTGGGGTTGAATAGTGGCCAGTCGTTGATCTGGTTAACGGCGATTGCTGCTCCTGTGTACAATTCGCCTTGATCCGCTTTCAGAAGTCCCGAACATTGGCCATAACAAAGTGCTTATGTGTGTCCGTACTATGCCTTGAGATGTGTGTGTCTAAACAAATTTCAAAACTTGTCTAGTGAAGCGTTCAACAAATTACTTCCTAGTAAAATCGGAAGAGAATGGTTTGTATTTTACGTCATTACTAAAACATTGGAATAATGACTGAAGCAATTCATCGAATGTGATCTACCAAAGATGTAAAACTTGACCTGTTTTGCGCATTAATGCTACTATACTTTGAGTGAGTCACGTGAAATGTAGGCTTATGACACTTTTGGTGCTAGCAACAATGGCTAAATTTTAGAAAGTTACGAAACAAAGAACCTTTTGTTGGCTGCTTACATCGCGAATTCCAAGGGCAAGTCGCAACACTTCCCCGAACTGCCACCATTCCAACGCCGCTGCGCTCACGCTCTTGCCGACATGATTGTCTCCCCTTATACCGCTCTTCCAGCCCTCATTGGTGTCTTCCTTCGCCCCGATGGAACCAGGAGAAGCGCCTTTAACAAACAACTTTCAGGTTGGCTGCTCACACTGGTCTTGCTTCACCCAAACAAAATATGGGGGTATTCAAGATAAGTAATTTCCCCCATTTATTGTAATTGAAGTGTTGAGTTTAAAAAGGGCAATCAAGACCGTTGCTTCAAAATACTGCGATGTAGCCCCAATGAATGATCCAGGGTTTGCACTGATACTTTGATATATGACCACAACTGGGCTAGTATGCTGTCACCACAGCATAGCCGCCTTTTGGAATGCTTTCATGATTTCCAGAATTGTTGGTGCACTAGGAAAAGTTTCACATTATCTTTCCATTAATAACTATTCTTCGTAGTAATAAATTTGAGAAAGAACTAATTCTTCTCAAAAAATGTGAGGAGCACTTATGGGAAGTTGGCAAAACCCTATAAATATGGCCTAGAATCTTATCATTCATCATATCTTGCCAATTCATGACTTTCATGTAGCTTAAACAAGGGGTCTTGGACTGATATAAATAACCATCCCATTTTCCATTAGGGGTAGATTTTAGCAATTGCCAAAAACTTAATCTTCCCAATCACGCAGCGATAACCACGCAGTACTAAAAATGAGACTGGAGAATTTTATCTTCCGTAAAATACTAGATAAATTGTAAATCTCTATCACTAACCATAGTGAAAATGTGCCTTTTATTAGTCAGAGTTCATAAGCATATAACATCGTAGATGTAACATTTTCTCAATTTATACAAGAAAGATTGTTTTGGCAATGAAATCCGAACTCAACCATTTTTCTCAGTCTACCTCAAGGCCGTCTACCGGCGCATGGCAAAGAAGCAACAGGGTTTGCAAAGCAAATCTGACATTCCAGCCACTCTACTACCAACCGTTCTTGCAATGCTCTTCAGTTATATTTGTGGTCTTATCTTTGGGTGGCAACTCGGCCTTACCATCGGTCTTACCTCCATCACACTTTATTCCATCTTCTTATGTAAGTTTAGGCTTTTTTCACGGTAAGAGAATAGCAGGATGCTCCCCTGAATGAACAGTGGACTTAACAGCTTTTTATAGCAAACGCCTCGTAAAACGCTTTTATGATCGCACTGTTTCAGCATTGCCAATTCATAGTCGTATAAAGCGTCCACTCCCTCTGATACTTGATCCCGCACTCCCTTGTGATATTTGCCAGCACAGCGGAATACTTGCAAGCTTGTAATGAGGCGTGCTAAGGTGAAATCCGTGTCGGTATGCAATTAATGTTATAAAGTGATCTACGGATAAGCCCATACAACAATATTTTACTGAAACTTTGAGTAGAATTTGAGTCAGGTTCACTGATAAATTTGTATCAGACCAGAACACCAATGAATGGCAAAATTCAAGGTGGAAGGTCGCACAGATTAGTTTATGGGATTTTGAACAACTCAAGCTCTTGTTTTAATAAAAAGATAACATTAAAGGTCTCAAAGTAGTTTATTCATGTTAATCACCATTATCGTTTGAAGGTTTAGTGCTTTATGGGGGACTTGTTAGGCGATGGAAGCTGGCACAGCGAATTGCCGAGACCTTGCTGCGTTACGCTAGGTCCTGGCGCCTTATTGTGGACATCCTTCTCTACAGACCACCAAAGCAGGGTCGCGTTCCCACCAATGTCAGGTACGCCATCAGGAATTACAGGTTTATTATTAAAGTACTCAAAGAACAGAAGTTCAGCTCTCACTGTTACCAAGGAAGTAGCTCAGCAAAATTTACTAATTCTTTCCCTTCTTGAAAGTCACGCCTATTAAGTCCGAAAATTACAGTTTATAAGCTCTTCTCTACTTTTTGAAGACATTTTAACTGTATATCTTAACACGCTACTTCCTACATGAATTTGTTTTGGAGAAATGACGACTCGTTCGATTGATTTTATTTCGTCTCACCTAAAGAAAGTTGTTATGATAATAGGCATTTAGAATAAAAATGCCTCATTATTTGTTTTGTGTTTAGGCGCATCTTCCTCTTTTTATATCGCTTTTTTAAAGACTTGAATGTCGGTTTTCTTAAGGACACCTTCAAGCTCAGTTGATTCTCATTAGGCAGTCGTTTTCACCCATTTCAATAAGGTTAATTTGCGATAAAACTAGTTTTTTTGGCAACCCTTAGGCTTCTTCCTGTCAGTCTGAAGTTGGGAGCATCTGAAACTTCTTGGGACGCTGCACTACGACTTTCGGAGAAGATGTGGGAAGCAGCAACATCAAAGTATTCAACGACGGCTGTTTACCTACAATACGCCAGCGAGGACGCATCCTGTGAGTTGGAAGCACAGTAAATAGGTGCCTGAGGGAGGGACAACTTGAGCGACTCATGGCATTGTTTAATGCTAGTGCATGTTATCGTCTAAGTAGAATTTGTTCACCACCATATTGAGACTTTCAGCTTGTCCTTCAGCGTAAAGTATTTATCTTACAATTGCATGCAGCATTAGAATGCATTAATTCCTACCTCCGTTCTCCCTGTTTTGTAAAATAGTGTCGAGAGATGCACTTTCCAATTTCGTAGCATCTGTGCCTACCTTCATATGGTATCGAGGATAAATTGCCAGCGATCCCTTATTGCAAAGTAACACAGCACAATTCAGTGCCTTTGGAATATCATCCTTGCAGTTACTTTAGAATTGCCTTTGTTGCACATGAAATGTACGCTACCAAGGTTCACTTAACCCAGTAATTACTGTTTATTTTCGTTTGGCGAAACAGACGAAGAAGCCTATGCTTTTTATTCCTAACAGCTTCAACCCTAAGGCTAATCAGTATCGAACTTCTCAATGACTTTTCGCGCACCGTTTGTAAAAATTTAAACAAAAGAAAATTCAGGTAGATGAAATGTCCTAAGTTCACCTTTCACAATGATAATCAGCTAAACACCCTTACCAAATTGCCTTGTGCAAATTATTATCTTCATGGAACTGAGCCTACGAAACAATTGTCAAAATCGCTATAGAATGCGCTGGCATACACATGGCATTTGACGTCAGCAATGGGATTTTGTGCGTGCTTGATCAGGTCAAAGTAAGCGGCGATGTCGCAAGGCATGTTGTATTCCTGCATTGGGCTGCTTTATCCTGTGGATTCTGTCCCTCCTCACCTGGTCTACTGCCCTTCGGGTGCACATGAACTCCGGAGAGGGCGCGAGTCAGTACAGACATGGTTCGAAGATCGCGTTCATTGTCTCCGGCGTGGTGGGACTGCTCAGCCTTCTCACCCTGCTAGCAACATCAGTAAAGCCTCTTCAACGCCTCGCCAGGATTCACCGACGCTTCCAGTCACTACGAAAGGAAAGGAATCAACTTCTACATTGCATCCAGCAATCTAAAGGTACTTAAAACTCAGTTATGCTGTCGCTAATGTATCTTCAATACCTATTCTTCCTTTAAATTCGGTGGAAATGACATGGACTAACTACGCAATTAGGGAAAATACTCCTCTGAAAAATTTCCATCATTTAAAAATTTAAAAATTGACCCTATTAAGTTATGAGATGACGATCCCGGCGGAAATGCTCAGTTTTGGTCCACTTCGCAGTGCATTACCGAAACAAAACTTAAAATAAACAATTTTGACGAGACTGAAATATCAAGCTCCTGTATTGGTTCCCACTAGGGACTTAAATTGTTTTCTTGCCAACTGACTGCCAGTGTGGCCTTTATTTTTGAATTTTCATCGCATCTCAATGAAACAGGGTATTAACGAGTTTAATGTAGGTGAATATGTCCTAACCTTGCTTTGAATTGGGCATAAAATTCCCTGTCGGCAATGATCTGAAGAAAGAAATCTTTAGGCTAGATACACAGGAATAGACTCAATCTACGAGGGGAAAATTCACGGGACTCCATTTCACCCGTGTTCGTGCGCGTGCCAAATCAACCATGCATGCCACTTCGTCGCATTTCCAACACTCCCTCACCAGAGTCAACCGCTTCATGCAAATTCTCCACCTTCAGACCCTATGGAGTTTGATAGAGGCCATTCATTCTTGTTCCACTGCACAATTTGTAGTTAGCGATCATATTCCGTCAATTTTTCGTACACAGCACGGGTATTTAGCTCATTAGACGGTGATCATGCTAGCTTAAGAAGAGGTCTAGTTTATAAAGTGGGGAAGCGGGTCAGCATTTGTATCTGATTTTCAAAAGATTATTCCTTTATAATCGTTAGTAGCATTTGCACTTTTGCAACTCATTTCGTTCTCCCAGCAGCATTCAAGAAATCCGTATTTCCAACTTTCCAAAACAAACATACCTTTAGTTGTTGCCTTCCATTCTTCTGTTCGCGCAACTCGGCCAAAGTAAATTCGGTGAGAGCATTCGGCCTCCTTCACATGCCTTCTCCCCATTCCTGACGGAATGAAGCACTCATTAAGGTCCTTAGAAGTATGGTCTCATCCTTGTTATCATTTCCCGACCGGCTTAAACAGTTTGCTTACTTATTTCAGCTATTTGCTAGTATTTAAAACACTCCTTTGATACTTTGACAGAGGATTTTATCGTTCCTTGAGTAGCATTCTCGATTATCCACACTGTGACACCATAACTTCAAGTCGCAGCTAAAAATGTCATTCAACTAATAACCTTCCTTCCCCAAAGTCAAATAATTCTATTTAATCTGCTGAGAGAAGATAGCAGAAGAGAGTTCACACAACAGGTTGAACCTGCACAGCTTTGTTTAAACCTGAGGAGTTCTTCACCAGCCAATGAAACAAGTGATCCATCTTATCTAAACACCCTGGCGCGGGAGATACTTATTATTGTTTTCATGGCAATTACTAAACATTTTCACCAAGAAGTCCTAATTTTCACCAAAATTTAAATCATGTCATTAAGAAGTTCATTCATGCCCCGTTTCGTTTTTATTTTGAAACCACCCCATGCGCTTGATTTAAAGCTTCCTTTATCTGAAAAGTACTTAAAAGTCCTGTCTTCCCTGGATCACCAACATAGAATATGCGGTATGCCGCAGATCCTTACAGCTGAAACATATCCCTTACAGTGTTCGTAACTGAAACCTGGGAATACAGATAATAAAATTTCTTCTGTAGAAATCTAAAGTACTGATGTGACGATTTAAAGTTTTGTGGAACGTGATCTTTTTACACTAAAGTGAAGGCGTTAGGTCAATAAACGTACCATTTAATATCAAATTTATGGAAGTTTTAAATGCCTCAGACACGTAACAGGATAGGGTCTTTCTCTTTGCTCTTTCACTTACCGGAAAGCTGGAAGTCCGGTTTGCAACGGAGTTACTCTGTACCATAAATGGGTTTGATCATGTTTAGTATGCTTAATGGTTAAAACTGTTTTTTTACAACTACGATCAATTATTTAAGTGAGCCCCGTATAAGCACTCTCCCTAATTAATCCTCCCTGAAATAAAAACCTGCTTCCACAATTTTTTAATCAGGTAATCAAAAGAAGGAATGATTTTGGTTGTTGACTTTAGTATTAGGTACTACCTTATATAACCCAATGGATTTGTTAGCAACTTCAAAATGCTCATTTGAATCGCAGGAGGAGATGGGTTACTAAATAGGAAGCATTTTAAAGTGACCATGATGCTTTTGATTGAAACCAAAGTTCATGCATTGGATCATATCTTAGTTACCCGTTATTTCTATTTTTATCCTTCATTTAAGGTATAACAAAACAATTGCTCTGTTGAACTATTTGCGGCCTTTGTGTAATGTAAAATCACAACTGACAATTTGGAGTGTCATATACCATCAGGATAATTGTGAAAATCATCTTATTTTTAAAAGTACCGTAGAAACATTAACACTAAGCTCTCGATTACTACTTCTTCACAAAACATGACATGAATAGTAGTAGTCTGTTCCTTCTTTGATCACTTGAAATGCCCTTTAGTTGGAAAGGAGTAGAGTAGGCCCGTATTTGAAACACTCATAGACCGTCCCAAGGTATCGGTACTCTTCACTGGAGCCGATAAAGAAGACGGGGAGGAGAGGAGCACTAGCGGCACGGACTCAATGGCCGCGGGTAACTGCAGTCACTACCACCAGTCCCCACGAGGCGTCGCCTTACAGCAACAGCAGCAGCCGCTCCTGCGCGATGTAGAGGAGTGGCTGGAGAGTGGGAAACGGATGACCGCACGTTTGGAGGCGAGACTACGGAGTGAGAACATGGCCACTTGCCATACCCTTCATCGTCTCGATGCACGCACTGAGCGCCAAACGCGCTTTCTCCTCTCTATCGATGCCACCGCCTCTCTGGCCTCCTCCCCCTCGTCGTCGTTGTACCGTCTCGCCGAATTCTGTCACCTCCTCGGCCGTGTCTTCACCTCTTCGCCTCGAGGCGAGCTTGGCCTCCTTTGGCATCTTGACGATCTCTGCGAGACAGCCTCGGAAGTAGGTACTCCCATCAATCATGCATTTTTAGTGCCCTATATTCAATCGGAAGGTACAAGTTGATGATGGAACGTTATTTTAAAAGTCTCCTTTGAGGTCAATTTCTTCTAATCCTACCATTTCATTACAAATAAACATATATGCATTTGTCCACTGAAATACTGCCCATACAATCGAGGCAATTAAAGTGTTAACGCCGTTCTAATCATTATGAACGCCTGATGCACAAATGTATAAGAACGTAGTAGTCCGGGTGCAGTTTGTATCACTTGGATTAGTGCTAATTAGAAGTGTTTCAAACGCCTCCGTTGCCTATGAGTACAAATCCCCATACTGCTTCGTTGTTATCAAAAATTTGAAGATGTTTTGCATTGATACGTGACATTTCAGAGATTTCCAACCCTGCTTTACCAAGTTTATACGTACATGAATAAACCATACCCAATCAATCATATCCAACATACATAGCGAGAACCTCTATGCGCAGCTAGAAATTTCATAAAGGAGTATGTTAATATTGTCGATATTAATTTTAAGTTTAGCATAAGATAAACTTTGGGTTTCTATAAAGTGCAGGTGTATGTCTAGCGCAACAATAAGACGAAGGAATGTTTTCACTTGCCTAGACTGATGCGGCAACATCAAAAAGCTTAATAGAAACCAGGCCGAACGCGCCAAATGTACTTATTCTCCTCGTGGGTAAGCAAGACATGTCGCCACCTTGCAATTCAGGGTCGAAGTCTGAGCAACCATGTGACTACTGGCAGAAAGTGCTGGAGGCCTGCCACCTGGCTATATTCATCGACGAACCTACCGATGGTCCACAACGAAGTCAAAATGACGCCGGATTAAGCAGTTTAATGGTGAGCAACGACTACAATTCAACAGCCGTCATAAAATCTACGAAAAATCCAAAATATTCATCAGAAATGCACTTTATAGCCTGTTGCTACTTAGAATACCGCTCCACTTGAAGTCATAAATTATGTAAAGGCGTTCTTAGGTGGATCGTAAAGGTGTTTAGTAAGCATCATGATTCAAAGAGCAAGAGCGCCATTTGATTACCCATCCACTTGCAATTCACCATCGTAGCAAGCACGTTCTACCATCTAAGGTGAAGAGAAATTAAAATTAACTGTGAAAATTAAATCATAATGTCCGATAAAACATCCAATCAGGGTGTTCTCTCAATTCTTAGGAATCACACCGTTCGACAGACAGTAACCACTGTCCAGATTCCAAGCCATCCTTCGATGTGTGGCCTGCTTCATTGTCCTTCCCCGAGTTCTTCGTCGAAGAGCACCCCTTAGCTGACATTAACGTCAACAAGCTTAAATATCTCCTGACCCACATGGCCTTTCTAGGTAGGTGATGCTAGCTTTATGCATTGCTTTGTATTTATAAAGTAGAAGGGCACTTAAACTTCAACTACCAGTAGAGCTCTAATAGTACGTCTTTGGACCTAACATGTAAAATCAAAATAGAAGTGGATGCTTATCTTTCACCTCTGACACAGAATTAACTTTGTGACTGAAATCAACGTGGTTGCTACGCCGAATTATTTAATTATTTTCCATCTCAGTTGAATCCACCACTTATTCCCCCTAGTTGAATTGATCAACCCAACCTCTCATAATGGTTGGGAGACATACGCTTGGTGCAAAGACAAATGCAATTTTCATCATAAAAAAAGTGCTCCCCACGCCTTATTCTATCATTTTAGTTCCTTTAAGGCCCTCCAACCGTGCTACTCTTCATTATCCTTAAAAATGATAATTTATAGACAAAGTTGTGAAATATGTGAAAATTAATCATATTTTTAAATGCACATAATAAGAACTTGTAGCACATCGTTTGAGGCAGTCACTGCCTTAAAAATATGCAGAATAGATGTGTCGACATTGGTTTGTTAATGTCTCTTTCATTAATCTGCTTGATAGAGACTCCAAAGGAGAAATACCTCCTGTTTGGTTTGTCAGTGTTACTTGTGCTTACTCACACAACAAATGGAGTCAGTCTATTGCAAATGCTTACTGCAGAAGTTATTAGGCTTGCTCAACTGCGTACCGCGTCCAGATCTCATTAAAAGTAAGAGGGTCTTTTAACTATTTTGACGATACTGTGAAATACACTGATACAATCCTCGGGGTATAGGCCACCGAGAGAGGCCAAATTACTGCAGATTCACCCTAGGGATCTGAACGATTTTCCTCCAGTACGGCCAATTACGGGCAAATGTGGTCTTGCCAATTTCATCCCTTCGATGGAATTAAATGTCAACACAAAAGAAATTACACCATCTCAAGAATGTAATTTTGATGCGAATTTTGTAGCTCGTCAATCTGTTTTATAAGTTATAAAGGGGTATGAAAATATGGACCACTTAATTTTATGTTGAGCAGAAAAATTGACAGCATTCATGAACGGGGTTGTCACTGCGAATTTACTCAAATCACTACCCGCATGAAAACAAAGAAACTCGCATGAGTTACTAGCTTGAAGCCACTTTTGTCTTTCCGTGAGATGTGTATTCTGATAACTACTATGATAATGCATGAAGTGCCATAATTAAGAAAAAATGCCATTTTTTACCTCTCGTAGCCTACACATGCTAACAAGATGCATGAGGACGTTCTCTCATTAGTACTTTGTGCAATATTTTTTTCACTGAAGGGCGTATGTTAAAGACAGGAGAGAACCAGAGAGTGTGGACATCTCTGTTGGAGGTTGCAACGACATGGCTATGTTTTCTAGTGCACTGGCCATTCCACACGGCCTGGCTGAGTCTCTTCCTCGAGGAGCACTACTCCTACACGCAGCAGTGTGCCCCTCGTGGCTCCGGTGGTCGCGGCAGTGGTGAGGCAGCGGGTGAAGGAGCACCGAGATCGGAGGAGGGCGAAGACGATGTTACCACCTCCACCATTAGCCAACCTGTCCTCCCTGACGATACCCTTTCCATGCTGTACTCGCGTGTCCTCGAACGGTATGGTGTCTTCTTTCAAAATCCTCATTACAGATTTCCTCTACCTTCTCTCTTCTCTAAATATAAACTGCGATGGATTTATGTTCCTCCATGTCTCTTTCAATGTCGTCTTAATAATGCAGATTTCTTGCTTAAATGCAATCCATCGACCCAGCTCTACAAACTTGTCAGATTTTTCATTGGTAACATCTCATGCAAGTGTTAGCGATTGGTCCTTATTCTTTGTGCAAATAGGCGTATAAAAGATGAAGTTGGAAGAAAGATTACCACAAACGTTACATCTATGTTAGTTAAGTCATTGTTGGCCTTCACTCATTGATAAAATTTTGCTCATTAAAATCCTAGTCTTTGAGAGGTGCATTTATGTTTTACTACACTTTAAATCTAATTGACCGTTTACTTTCTACGCGGAATAGTTTATTAAAACTAATTAAATCGCTGCAAATCTTGCTGCAAAATGACTTATTGGAGAGCATTTTCGCAGATGTGTGGTGCCTGAGCCCTCTTCTCGGTCTGTTTATCTGCTGGAAAAGCATCACTTATTTGGTGCTTATTTTAATCAAAAACTCGACATCTAGGAAGCCAAATTGGTGGCAATTCTTAAAGTTTTGAATTTGGTTGAAATTATTTGCAGACACTAAGATGCAGTACTTAAGCCCCTAGTAAAGCACCAAGCATTTTGATAGTTTGAGAATCTTGTTAGCCATGAAGTGTGGTTGTTTTTGTACTAAAGTGAAATTGCCATAGTCTTCAGGGACAAGGTTCATTGAGAGGGAAAGCCCATTACCTTCGCTAAACTGGCAATTACCATCGATCCCCCGCGCGTATCTTATTGGCTGCTTTAAGGGGAGCGCTGAAACCACTCCCACTGCGATAGCCACAAAAGCTACAAAGCCACGCGATTAATTGCTCCATTTATGCACATATGCAGTTCGCATCTCATTTGAATTTCATTAGGGTTCATCGTCGTGGTACATGGCATGAATTCGATCCTTCAGTTTCACTTACTAATGGAATATGCGGGAATGGTTGCGGTCCCTAAATATTATATATTTTGCAACAGAATATGAAAATTCTACTTCTTAATCATTCACTAGCCAATTCGTACCGCCTAAAACTACTTTTTGTTGAAATCGCAACTACTTTGAAAAATGTGTTGGATAGATTTTCCCTTTACAGTTTATGTAGTTAGTGATTTTACATGAAACCCCCCTTAACCCAAAAAATCAGACCCGCTAAATAGCTCAAAACCTTACAAATTCACAAAAAATTCTGTTTTCAGTAGATATGTCTGCTTACGTTAGAGCAACCTTGAAGCAACCCAAAAAGTCATGATGACACTAGAACTAAAGCGTGATCTTGATTGCTTCGCCACTGTTTTAACATTTGTAATCCAGACTGGCACCGGCGCTATCGTCATGCCGGCCGCGAGGTCCTCCGTCATCGCAGTTCCACTCACTGCCATCGCATCGAACACAGAGTGTAGCAACTGCGCATTGGAGAGGGCACGGGAGCGCAGCACTTCAACTGTGCGAGCTTGCTGCGCGTGACTGCAGGCCTGATCGCCTCGCTGCCCTCCTCTGTCACCACTCTCGCTCCCGTACTCCCCTCGACCCCGACTCCCACTCCGCCTCCGCTACTTCTCCAGTCGCAGCCCCGACTACCTCCGTACGCCGTCTAGTCGCTGTCATGGCCGATTCACCACTGATAAACCCCAAGACACAAGCTCGCATTCAGAGTGAGTTCCGCAACGGTTCCTTCCACGGTTTGTTCGCTTCCATTTCGAACAAGATTATTGACCATCAAAAGCTAATCCTCGTAGATTCCATTTAAAAGCTAGAGAACTAGTAAGTTTCCAAAGCACATAAGGTTAAATGAGAAAAATAGCATTTAGATCATTAAGACAATTTGTTATTATTATTTTTTAAGTAAAATGACAAACAGATGAGGAATAACAGAAGTGTGAAACTGTAAAGGCACTGAAATCAACAACAATTTTGGCGAAGCGAAATATGCCTGAATGATGTATTCTGGTTAAAGAATACAACCACTTCTGAAGCTGTTTCAATTATTCTGACTTTGGCAATTTCTTTGAAAGATTGAATCACTTTCACGCTAGATTTCTTCCCCAATCAAAGGTGTGTTAGCAATTCTGCATATTTCTTCTTCCATTTCAGTGAAATTTGGACAGTTTCTTCAAAAGAGCATTTCAAAAACTTCAATTAAGCAACAAGTGTGTAAAAATCAAGTCGCTTTATTGAACAAAATGGCCATCCTTATGCTATTATTTCAAATATAAAATTGTTACAAATTGGACGAACCTAAGCGTTATTTGGATTGGGTGCTCGCTCCGAGGGTAAGGTGAAGGTTAGGTCTATCTTGGGGTACTTTTGTGTCCACGCCTAAACAGGTGAACTTCAAGTCACTTCAAGGATTCTTTTGCTCCCTGAACATCACTCAACAATGTCGACACGTGACAGGTGAAGTCATCTAAAAGCGCGGAAATAGACCGTGATTCGCCAACACGTGGCATGCTCCATATTGCCTTTGTCGAGGCATAAACAAGCCCTTATTTGACAGTGGGCAATTACTCATTCACTTCATCTTTCTATTGATGGATTTTCATCTTACAGCCTTCCATAAGCAAGCTCATTTCCTCAACTTGATGATGCGTTATTCCGACACTTCCTATTGCTCGTAATGAGAAGCTCAAGTCTGACATCGGAAAGTAGCCCCAACCAAAGTTCCACCTCTGCTCGTCTAATCAGAAAAACAACTTTCTGAGTCTATTTAATGCGAATCGTTTACTATTTTGGCATCTTTCCTAGTAAAACGTTGATAATACCGATTTCAACCCATCCTAAGGTGATAAAATGAAGGCAGCCCTTACAACCCTTTAATTTCATGTAAAGGTTTTACAGTAGCTTCCTGTGTAACTTTTTTCACCATCGACAGAAAAAGGTGTTTGTTTGTTGAATTAGTAGGGAAATTCAGTAAAGCCTCTGTATTGTAGGTTTCTTGAATGGGCGTGGCTTTTCTCTTGTGCGAAGCAACAGTCGGGATCTGCACGGTAAGTACTCTGTCTTCGCATCATCCGAAAGGTCTTCACTAGTGTTCTTCCAACGAGTTGACTTTATAGCTGATATGATCCATCAAATGGCAATTTTAGGGGTGCTACGCTCTGTATTGAAATCCTAGCATTTTCATAGTTGTAACTTGAAAAGTGGACTGTGGGAGGGGTATCAATGTCATTTAACGAATGACAGGTGTATGGTTGAAGGGATGGATTCAAAGGTGTCTTAATCCTATTTTATAATTATATAGTTTGACGATTATTTATTCTAATAGGTTGCAGTTGTTCGTATCGAAATAACGCTCTGACGAGCACGAATGATTGTAGCCGTTATGGGACTATGAATTCGTGTCCTCTGCAGCTCTACTTCGCACTGTGTACTTTCTAGTGCAATAAATTTTGGAAAGGTCCTTCAACTCGATTTCATCAGCCTGTTTGTAAAAGCACTTAGGCAAATCGCAGGCTCTGAACCGACAAAATTAAGAGCCATGCCCAAAACGTAGGTTTATAGCAATAAAGAATAGCAAGAATTTATAACAAACTTGCCTCGTTCTGTTGCCAAGTTGAACGCTTCTACGGGCTAAAATAATGCACCATGCAACGTAATTCGGAAGTGAGCTATTGGGAATGAGAACGACTTTCATCTCCGGTGCTTTCATGTTTATTCTGATTATTTATGTACTCCCACACCTGTGATTTAGCCTTCCGTTAAATTTGACAACTCAACAGTGATAAGCACGCCAGAACTGGTAAATTACCGTCTTTCCTACTGCCGTCATTTTGGCCAAGTTGCATTATTTGCATTCATTTTACAATTTTTATTTGGGAATTAAGACAACTTTGGAGGATAAATCGGGTAGTGGTGTTTCGAGAAAGCGAAGATCGCACCGACTGTCGGATAGAGTCGTCAACGGTCAATGTAAAGGACTTCGGTGACAGCCCTTCAGTAGGAACAAAAATTAGGGTATTTGAATCTTAGACGCACCTTCGATTCAACAGTAGCAGTCACCTCATCAACGTTAGTATATCCACTGCTAATCCGTGTCATTAATTTAACGAAGCGTTGGAATCGCTCGAAGGAAGTGTGAACTATGCTGCAGTAATTTAGAATGTGAGGAAAAGCATTTTTGTGTTTGATTCGCTTTTGTCTTCGCATTATCATTGAGAGAGAGAGAGAGAGATAAGTGCACTTTGCCTCTGATTTTCCTAATAGCTAATTGGAGTACCCGACTTGAGCCCATTTGTCAAACAGCACAAAGAGATATTAAAATCATGATGGCTGATTGTCGTGATAGCCGCTTATGCGTAAGAGAATGGTGAGATTTAGTATTTAGATTTTAATATTCGCCAGTTTAGGGCAAAAGAAGACTGCACTCCTCGATACTTCCCTCGTCGCAGTAAAATTTTAGCATAATGCGTGCCTGTTTTGCAGCTCTACCACCAAAGATTGGCCAAGTTGAAAAATGCGGAGACAAATTCCACGATAAGTTCAAGTTGTAGGAAATAAAGTTTTCTCTTATCCCTCTGTGCAATTCATTATTTTTTGCGAAATAATGTAAAGTATGCCGCTGCTATTAATATGCCCACTATGTACTTCTAAGTTGCTTCTCAGTCATTTCGTGTACTATGAAGTTTTTTAACTTCATTACCTCAAGTGCCTTTTCATAAACATTGGTCTGAGTACAAAACTTCTGCTAAGTATGTATTCAACAATGCAAATTTTTTTTTCAATTCCTATTACTTCCTTGTCAATGGGTGATTAATCTACTGCATGGCCTTTAAAATAAGAAAACACTTCCTCGACTAGGTCCTTTGAAAGTGGTGATTTGCCTATGAACTTGCAATCGTAAACGAAACTTGTTGCTACTCAACAATAACCAAAATATGGAATGTTCTTGCACTCAGACATTCACATCAGTTATAATTCCTGAACGACCTCCATTGTAACTACATCAATTTACTTGCCGGTGTGAGCTCTCGGTCCTAAGTTTGTACTATTTAAAGCTCAGTTTGCTAACTGATGTGTTACACTTTTGCAGAATTTGTCGTTCACGCAATTTGTGAGATCTAAAAACAAATCGCTGAATACGTATACAGAAGGAACCGTGGAGAACTTTTACCAGACATGGTAAATAATCAGACAGCAAGCCAACTGCTTGCTCGCAGAGAACAGCTGACAAATGCATTACCACAAGTTATAAATCACTTTATTGGGAGTAATTCTTAATTATACAAATTTCTGTTTTAAATGGTTGGTCATTATTAGGGGAAAGAAACTAGATCGTCATGTTGGGTTTGCTTCGCGCCCTGTTTAATACCAAACGATTTGTTAGAATGACCCAACTTCTTAATGCTTATTGTGTGTACCCAAATGGCAAAGGTGTTCATCATCGCAAAACATGTTGGAGGTGTACCAAAGCCTTTTTACTGCGTTTGTCTCCCCTTTCGCCAGAAGCTTCTACCCACTGTGTGACATAATACTTCAGCTTAAGATCGGGTCACAGCATCATCAGCGTTTCCCTCTGTCCTGCGAAGGATATTCCTGAATGGTGATTCAACAGGGAGGTGAGGGTAGCTTTAGTTAGGTCAATTTGGCATTAGACTTCATAACATTCGTGCGTATCTCTAAGAATTATTTGACTAAGTGGCAGTACTAAGTGCAATTGCACAGCTATCTCAGGGGAATAACTTAATAATTTTTTTGCCTTGTAGTCAATCGCAGTTTGCAATCACTGAGGGACAGAGAACCCGACATTCTCTCCTTATCCATCCACACATCGAGGACGCCACCCTGTCCCATTCGACTGAAGGTAACTACACCAAAAAATTCACCTGTACGCAGTGAAGCGTCAATCTTGCGGTTGCAAAACAAGAAGAGTGTGTAGTGGGTTAAATTTACATCTGGAGGTGCTAGACACGATGGGAGCATGTATGATGGCAAATCCCCAAAAAGGCCGTCAACAGATATCCTTCTGCATTGAAAAGCACACCCATTAAAAGGCAGCGCCACTCAAGTGAAAAACTGCCACTTTGCAGCGTTAAAACGGAGTCACTCGAATCAGTGTTTCAAACAGGCTGCGCACACGATTACTGCCTGGTTGCAGTACGGCTTCATGTGTGGCACCGCAAGGCGCTATGCGGTGAAAACTGGAATGCATGTGTGCTACAAACGGTTCAGGCATTCCCAATATTAACATTGAACCACAGCGAGTGGGCGGCCTCCCACACCCACAGGTACAGTGCGCACCAGAGCCTGGATTGAATCGTTTCCCCATTTCAAGGGCATCATCTTGAAAGAGCTCTGCTTCGACCATGAGATCCCTATAATTTTTGTTTTGCTGAAATCCCCTTCCATATTTAGGAATTATATTATGAGGCCCGTAAAATTGCCATTATTTGCTACAATATCCCCCAAATAGCCTTCGAATACCTTTTTCGCTATTTCGATTACGTTAAGAAAATATTTTGTTACAATTCTATTTATTCTCGACTGTTGAATCATTCCTGTAAGGGAACAACTCCGTTTACCACAATACAGCCCAAATAAGGGGTAAATTGGCTCACGTAAATCGTATACATTTTTCCCATAATTACCGTCCATAGCAAGAAGCCAAATCTTTCCATTTTCAATTCAAATTAAAAGGTAATCGTACTTAAACATTTACAATTTAGAACGGACTTCCCCGAAAACCACTGAGCAAAATGACTGTGGACGACATTTGCCACCTGGTGAATGATATGACAGATCTTTACACCAACCGTTGCCAACACCGATCTGCCTCCCTCTCCTCTTCCAATACCCTTGAAGACCGTCAAAACTCACCACAGTCCCTTTCTCGACCTACCTCCATCGCGGCCTACCTGCTACGCTTGCGTGCGCTCAACATCAGCGGAGCGGTGCTAGCCGTATGCAGTCTGAACGAGTCACTACAGCGCGAGATCGGTATGACCTTCAGCGACTGGCAATTTTTCTCCAGCCTCGTCACTCACCTCAAGCGCCTCGAGGGCTGTCCGCCAACCCCGTCCTCACCACCTCCGCCATCGCATGGCTGCCAGTGCGCACGCTCCATGGGCGATCTGGCCAGCATTCACACCCACCAACACCACTCTCACCTGATGCAACACAAGGCGCCTGCTCTCTGCAGACCAAATGTCGGTGCCTGGACCTCCGAATCCATTCTAGCCGCCGCCACGCCGCAGAAGCACTGGCGCCACCCCGACGACTCCTCACCCTCGCCAATTAACGGGCAAAGCAGCACCAGCATTAGCAGTAGCAGTATGGATACCACTACTTGTACGTCCAACAGCCCGCGGTGGCATAGGCCACAATCACAGCCGTCACCACCTTCGCAGCAGCACACGATCGAGGAGGAGGTGTGTCGCCTCTCCGGTGGTAGCTGCTCCGTCTACTCCGCTGACCTCTCCTATTCCCCCTCCCCCTCCTCTTCTGCTGTCACTATGCCATCGGCTTCCTCCTCACCCTCACCCTCCATTTCCTCCCTCCACTCCTCCACTCACAACGAAAAGTAATACAAATTGCAAAGCATTGGCGGTATGATGCGTATGTACGAATGCTTACTGCGCACACCAGGTCAATTCCTATTTCCATATGAGCGGAAATGTGGCACTTGCCCCACAAACACTGGTCTGCATATAATCACAACTCCAGGTAGTTCTGTGATCAAGGTATTGATGTTAAATGGTACTGTCTTGCGAAAAGGGGAAAACGGGGACTTTTGGAGAATGAAATCATTCACTTCTCCCGATAAGAAACTACATCCGGTGATCCAGGTGTAGTCGTTCACGCTTTACTGCTAAACCTCCACTTATCAAAGTCGCCAATGCAGTGGTAATGTCTTCTGATGCATCTTCGATTAGTGTCATTAGTGAGTCACTATGAGCCTGTAATTAGCATAACCATCCGCGACACGCCCCCCTGGGGTAAATATATTAGGTCAATGAAAAAATCCCCTGCTTTTTAGTATTTAAATGAGTATGTTATCTAGGAGATTGAGAGTTGGATGAATCTGACTTTGGCCGCCTATGCACTGTCGTCAGACGCCTTCTCCTTTCTACCATTCAGAAATAATTATATTTAAAACACCCTATTAACCGCAAAGAAAAATAAAAGATTGGTTTATTCATCAGCTCTACTTCTTGATGGGTTTTGGGAAATTGGGCATATGACAATGGCACTAGGAAGGAATACGAGATTGGGGCAACATAATAGCGAAGGGCCAAATAAGAAAAATAATATTCGTGGGTGTGTGAACTACGATGAGACAGTAGTAGAGGGGAAAACGTGCTAAAAGGCTTGCTACGCCTATACGAGAACAGCTCTGTACAGAATTGCCTTGGGACAAATTCGGTAATAATCTATGTACATAAACTACCGTGAACACTAGAACGCACATACAAGGTCAAATCTCTTTTGCTGTCTCCACGGAAAGCGAGGGTTCATGATGCACCACGACTGCCTGACTATGGGATCCTGTGTCAGCAGATGAGGAAGTGCCTTCCTCCTCTTGCACCTGCGCTGGAGGCTGTTGGTGGCCCTCTTCCTCGAGACCACGACATAGAGCGCACATGAAGGCACTGTCGGTGATAATCGCATTGCGACTGCACACACTGTTCAGATGCACCCAGCGCTTACAGTAATCACAAGACGTCCAATCTACAACCTGCAAGTACAGCAAAAGACATCACAACAGACGGGAACAATCCAAAGACCAATTGCCATTGCATTCTGTAGGCAGTTGGGCTTTGATCTAAACTTGAATTGGGATTCAGTGGAAACTCGGAATACAAAGCCTTCAGTCCCAACAATAAAAAGATAGGGAGACGGGCTTTCGGGCAAGTCAGTATAAGTTCAAGCATATTAAAAAAAAGTGTAACAATTACTGCTCAAATCAAATCATAAGGTGTCATTCTAACCAAAAAACTCAAAACAACGCGTAGATGAATTTTATTTAATATTAGGATACGCAATAAAATTACTATTTGAGCGACAAGAGAGTTCAATATCAGTGATTACACACAACTTTGCATGAAAAAGGTCAAAAGATGGAGGAAGGATAAATAAAAGGGAATTCGTACCGGACACTCAGAGTCACCAGTACCAGTGGCGTCAGGGTCGAACCCGGGCGGTTCGAGTTGGCAACAGACCGCGCAAAGACCAGGCGCTTCCCCCTCTTCGATATCCTCCACTATGTTTGCAACTGATCCACTCTCTCCCTCGTCAACCAGTGACACAATCTCATGACCTCCACAAGGCACCATACTCTCGCTACTGTAAGAGGCGGCAGTGGTAGGTGTTTGTGTTGAAGATAGCTAAAAGAATATGAGTAGTCTCAAACTAAGAGAATAACAGCCCTTCTTCGTTAGCTAAATTACATCGGTGGGAACGATAATGACTCACTGGCATAGAAACCCCACCACTAGCACCAGCAATGAGGATAGGCCGAGTTGTGGGGTTTGAGGAAGTTTGAGGCAGTCGGATCGCAATGTGTGGTCCACTGGCAGCCAATCGCTTGGGCAATGCGAGCAGATGCACTGGTTTGCCGGCAGGGTTAGGAGTTGAAGCAGTAGTCGAGAGAACACGTACACAAGACGTCGTGGGTGGTATTGTCGTTGAAGAGTTATGTGCAACAGCTTCGGATTTCGACGCGTCTTGCTCTGAAAACGATAAAACAAACCCTGATGCATGTTCTATCATCAGTGATCTGTTCTCAAGTAACAGGGGTAATGACAAATTGGTGGTAGCCATTAAAAGACATTTAAACGTTACGAAAATCTAGTCGATAAAAGTACCGAAAGCGACACGCAGAAAGGAAATATTTAAGATCATTAAAATTATCAAGACCCCGCCATCTACTGAAGTATTCTGATAAAGCACCACATGGCAGGTCATTTATACAGGTTACGTGCATTTTATTCTGAAGAATTGTGATAATTTGGAAAGTAATTAAGGATTGAGATATCAATGCTATTAACACTTTAAAAGGCTAACGATGAGCAAATTGATTCCACAAAAGGGTCAGACCTCAGTGAAATATCAAACTACTTCTGCTAAAGCTCCCCACTTTTTGATGTTGATAACTGTAGCTGCAAACAGCCATTATGTATATTTATTAAAACCTCATGCACCTCGATCATGAAAGGTAATGCATCTCATGCCTCCAATGAAAAGATCCAGTTTTTACTATCATAATGGCTACTGATTCTAAAAAAAACAAACTCACCACCCAAGGGTTCGTGTCCAGGAATGATGATGTGCGAGCTGGACCTGTTATAGTCAGAATTGGACGGCTCCATTGTCAGGGTTGCCTGAAAATTGAAAGGAGAGCTGGCGGAAACGCCCCACTGTACAGAACTGCCACTTCCACTGGACAATTGCTCATGATCACCATTTTCCCCGTGAGGCAGCACCATTTCTTCTTGTTCGTAGTCATCCGGCTGTAAATATACAGTTTTAATGCAAGCAAGATCACTAGAGGTAAATACGGCTTTGTACTAAGTTCAATCAAACGACAGTATAGAAAGGATCCCTATGAACATCACAAACAACTCACAATATTCAGATAAGCGCCAATGGAGGTTGAAAGGTTGTTGAAGGGACAAATGCCCAATCGAGCAAACAGGCTAACCATATTTCTTGGCTGTAATGCGCGTTCATAAGCATGCGTGAGTATTGGAGCCACATTTACTTTAGAGAGTGACTCGTTAGGATACCTTTGAAAAAACCTTTCCAAACGCTTCTCAAAGTATGACTAAAAGGAATTAAAAAATGGATTCAGTTGCATGCGTAAAGGCAACGCTACATATCCGAATGAAAAAAGAACTAGATGGAGGTGATCAATACGAGTGGGGGCATGGACAATCCGGAGCTTGCGCCTGAGAACGCTGACTAAAGTGCGCAAAACGCAGAGTAAGCAATGCAATAGAAGTTTTACAGCTTTAAAAGCTCGAGCTACTGACACTCCATCGTGTGAAATCTAAGAGGTAGCACAGCTCTGAAGTTATTCACTTATAGACACTTTCAAAGCACAAAAAAGGATATCAGAGTAATTACAAGTTTTCAAAATATTGGCTGTATTACAAACAGCAGCTGTGAGTGATGGGAAATGGTATGCACTCACATGAAATGCATGGAAGCACGTATTTTCGATACAATGATTGTAGGCGGGATGTGGGGGCAGAGGAAAGAGTAAAACACCATCTTCTCTGGCACGTTCGAGCACCCGCACACTGATGAATTGAAGGTGTCCGTCGTAGAGCAGCACTAGTGGTCGCTTCAAAATCTGAGGACGAAAATGCTTCAAGAACCACTGAATAAACGCATCGGAGTTTACCCATCCAGATGGAGAGTTGGCAAACTTAGTACCCCGCACTGCACCCTCCATCATGCTGTCTAAAAAACCGAGGCAAACGGTGTCCGTGAGATACCATTTGAGTAAAACTTGTTTATGGTTTCTTCTGTAATGCTATTTCAAATCCAGAAATTGCTGAAGGGTACATTACTGATTGGCTCGTAATGCCTCAAAATTCGTCTGTATAGATGAGTATCCACACTCTGCAACACTTCGGTGGTACACTTTTTCAGGAAGGATGTATGCTAGCCTGAGACCAAATTAAATTATTAATAAGTGGCTCAAATAATTGCTTACCTCCCGACAATTAAAAGCGAATACAAAACCTATCAGGCAAAGCAACAGAGAGATGAGTGACTATGGTATTTTTTGCTCTAAATCATTTTATTACTTCAATACAACCCCAATCAATTTCTTGTACATAGATAACCACTTTTAAAGTCAAAAGTATTAGGCGAATCCCATATTAATGCATTATCAGTTAGTCCACCCAAGATAGAAATGAGCAAAGAACGTATCCGCGGAATGCAAGGCAGTAGCAAAAGAAACCTACCAATGAAAATGGATGCGTTTTGTGAAACATGAGTGCTTCAGCAGATGCAATTCAAGTAAAAGCCTGTTTCTGTCGAGTTCCATAACTTTTTGGAAGCTTTTCATATGACGCTCATGAAAGCGCAAACATGCACGAAGATGTTTCGAGAACATTACCTTGCTCATGAATGAACAAAAATTGAGTTACCCCAAGAAGTTGAAATTTTGCTAGCAATTAAAAAGTTGACAAGAAATGAGGCGAATGTGGATTTAAAGCCATCGAACACGCACCTATTTGACCAAACGGACTATTTAAGTGATATTGAAAACTCGTTGGTTCCGAAACGCTCAGGTCAGTAAATGCTTACTTTAACTTAATAAGTAGGTATTTGACATGCACCAGCCATTGTAACCCACTCAAGAAGAGTTTAGATGACGCACCCTGGACCATGATTAATTTGGCTAAAAGCTGCTACCGAGGTTGAACGATTTTACGATTCACTAGGAGTAGCAAGCCATTCAAAAAAATGGATCCTTAAACTAAAGGGACCAATTTTAAACCTAGGAACTAAGTCATAGTAAAAAGGAAAACATCATCTTGCTAAAGAAAAGCACGAGTAAAGCATTTGCAATCAGCGTCACGTGTGCGAAACATGTGTTCTTCACCCTTCTATAACTAGCTACACTAAACTGTCGCAAGCAGATAGGACATTACCGACCTGAGGTTAATTTTATTCTTTTAGTTTTAGCAACATTACTTCTAGCAGAGCATAAAACGCCAAAATTGTGCCGGCTGACTTCCTTCTAAACTCCTGATTGCTAATGTCCTATCATCGTCTCAATTCCCAGCAAATGAAGGGACAATCAATCCTTTTCTTCACACGCACCACACTTCTATCTGAATTGACATGCATTTACAGGTTTGACTAGTGTTGTCGATATGCACGAACACACGGTTTCAGGGAATAACAGAAAAAAATGCTAAAAATAGGTTACTACACATCCATAATTGCAATTTCTATCTTAAAAGCATTCACTTACATGAGCGAATCATCAGCACTCAAATTGCCGCTATATTTAATCTGAGCGCTTTTCGGCAGCCTAATAGACTACACTTACAGATCCCCCATTATTTGATTGGGCGAAATTACCACCACACCCATTTACAGCGGGGGCTTGAAGGCAATGTATCCTACTAGTAGGACCAGTAGAATAAGAAATGAACTGACTCTTAGGAAAGTAACCAAAAACCCTTTTATGCGACAGGTTTTACTATTTGGTATAAATTTTCGTGCAAAAAAGTCAAAATAAGCTATATGAGCCCAATACGAGTTATCGTAAGTTAGCCATGAAGTTGCAACGCAACAATGTGGCTAGTACTGAAAACCCACCTAACTGTTCGTAGGCTAACGATACTTTAAATACTGGTTCTACTAAGAATAGTTTAGTAAATTATATCATTATTCATGTTAGTGTATGGTAAATGCAAGTATGAAATGGACAGCAATGTGCGCGAAATAGGAGGTCATATGGAAATTCGTTTCACACCTCTGGAATTAATACGTGAGAAAGTGGCATATTTTTCAAAATTAGTAGGGGAATCCAAGATCCTTAGGATTGGACTTTCGTGCAGACATATCAAAATTAGGTTCAGACGAGAAGGAATATGTGCAAATTACTTAAAGGATTTCATAGCAGGGTTCGTGACACGATCTAAATTTAAGGTCTCGGAACGTTGAGATCTAACACAAGGTTGGATGGTTGCCATGTTGGTGAGCATGATCTTCAAGCACGGCTAGGCTGATTTTAATGAAGTAATGCCGCTAGAGACGAATGAAGGCCGTTGGTCGCAATATCGAAGAGCATTTTATGCTACAAGATTTACACATTCTGAAGTCCCACTCATCTCTGTACCAAACCTGTTTTCTACTTTTTTTAAAATAGTCAATTAATCCAAGATCACCACCTAATGGGACTTGACGAGAGCACTGCTGAAACACTCTCAATTCGAAATTATATATCACTTGATAAGGACCAAGACTTACGCGAAATAGTCTCCCCGTGGTATATGAGAAAAGGAGGAACCTTCTCACCAGCTGCATTGGCTGCACCGATAATCGCGACAGTGGGGCTCCAGTAACTGACGGACTGAGCACGCTGGATACCAATCGGAAGGATTCGAGGGGGTTGGTTCTCACAACTTATGCTCACTTCATCAACCACCCACATGTGGTCAGGTTTATCCTTGATACCGTACTTTGTTATTACCTGCACGTGAAACAGTAAAAAGTAGAGAAAAAATAATTTCATTTAAGTTTTCTCTAAGAAAATGCTGTTTAACATTTTAGGTTACTGATAGTTTGCTAGTACACTCAGAAGTATACATTTGCACCCAGATTTTTAACCACCCCATTTAAAAAGTGAAACCTCCCTAGTACTTTATCGGTAAAAAAAATTTTCTCATTAAAAAATATGTATTTCAATGGGGGTCATAGTAAAATTGGACTGAACCAACTTAATGCGCCCAGTCTAGCTGAATTGCGTGAGGCACGAGGTAGATATACTGCCATATGCTTAAGTAGCGCACTTCTAATCGTTTGAAAAGAATGCAAACCAACAGTGTTGCTCACCTTATCTAGCTGCTCGAAATAGGCCTGTATCGCATCACCAGAAACGCCTTTTGATTTTCTGTTAGTTCGTGGGCCGAAGAGAAAATTTTTCAAATCAGGCCAGCGGTTAAGAAAAGCGTAAAACCAGGCCTGGCTAGGATTGAGGTACTTGAACGGGGCAATTCGCCCCACCGCCTTCGTCATATCTCCTGCCAACTCAACAACCTTGAAATAAAAAATTTGGCTTCAGGGAAAACAGAAGGACAATGTTACGGGTCCTAAAGCCTCACGCAAAACCAACCATAAATACTAGGGATTCGACAACAAGGTATCTTCATGTTTTGTGCCCCCTGCTATTTAAATCTTTCAAAATCAAGTATATCATTCCCTGAATTTGATTTGGTCCGAAAACTACCCTAAAACTAACCTGGTTCCGCGTATAGGGATATCCTATTTTACTCATGAAAAGTATATGATCAACCATTTTCTTCTCCTCTTCAAAAGTAAAAAATGTGGGAGGCCCGGGTCTCGAGCATTCTAGACTGACTCTTCCATGCACACGATCACGAAGGGTCGATTCGGGAACATTGAATGCAGTTGCAGCACCGCGAAGCGACATGCCCTGGTACTTGACTGCATTATAGGCGTTTGTCATATCGCGTTGAGTCCATCGACGCCTCCGAGACTATAATTTTGGTGGTTATACTTCAATCTATATACCAAACCTTCTGCCTGAATGATGAATGGGAATTAAGCCCATCCAACTCCCGGTACAAAACTATCGGCCGGAAGTCGTCGGAAACAACATCCATAGTATCATCGGGATCTTGTTCGAATGTATCATCCGAATATTCTTCTTCTACCATCATTACCCCTTAAAAATGTGTGAAAAATTCATGCTAGCACATTTAGCGTTGTAAAGGACCATTGGCAAAGTGGTTTACAAACAGGCATAAAAAAAGCTTGCAACCAAAAAGCTCAATTCATAGCCTACTAAGCCACTTTTAAGTTATTTGAATCAAAAATAAGTGCAGTGAAAAACGTATTTTAAGCAGAGAATGTAGGGGTGCGTGGATGATCGTATTAACCTCTGGTAGTCAAAACATATAGTAGGTACAAAAAGTTGCCAGGTTTTTTAGCACAAAAACCCCGGTCTTACCAAATGACAATAGGATATCGTAAATAGATATTAGCAAAAAAAAATATGCGTCAAAATACTACATACGCTGTGACTAGACAGACGTTGCATAGATAAAACAGGGCGGTATAAATTGGTAGGAGTTCGTAAGACCATTTCACCAAAAAAGTGAAAACGAATATAATAAAGAACCACAAACACGTCAATACATGTATCTAAAGACCAAAAAGGCGGTCATCAAAGAACACCCGAGCAAAAGCGATGAACAAAAAGGAACCGACAGAAAACAGCATGCGGTGATGTGGGTGTATTCCCTTAGGCAATTTTCACATTCATATGCAAAAAAGGAAAATAGAGAGAAATGTACTGTGATCCGATGTATAAAAGTCCAGAGAAAACAAGTATTACCAATTATAAACAGCAATTGAAATCCGGAGATTGGCCGAAAATATATAAGTTCTTCAACAGCACCGCCCTTTACCTCGTCAAAGGAATATGAGTGTAACATAACAAAATTATAAAGAAATTCAGCACTTGCATCAATCAAGAAACAGCCAAGCCAATATTCTACTTTTTAACCGCATAACTGCTAAAATTTTGTTAATTTTTACGGGCAAAAATGAGCAATGCTAGCATTTTTGGTTTATATTTTGGGGAATCTACCTCGGATAATGCCAAACTCGAACATAAATATATATATATGTGGAATTCAACAAAGTAGGGTCAACTTTAAAATTTGGTAATGTCTAAGGAATTTTGTAAAATTTTTTTGCGGGCAAAAAATGTTGCAAAATCCAAAATACGGCGACCTATTAATCTGAAACCCCACTTCAGATTTAATTCACCTTCCTAACATTTAAAGTCAGCTTATACAGCACATTAATTGTCAAGCGCTTTGTTTTAATGTGGGGCTAGTCAGTCTTGGCTTCTGTACGGTAGCCTCCCGAGACTTCCCTGAAGACAGAAGAAGACAACACCGGGGGAAAGTATGCCTTTGGAACCAAGGAAGTATTTGAGCTACTGGTATGGCCTAAAGGCCAGCTTTCCAGCGAGGTACAAGGGGGCTAACTCAAAGTACAAAAGTGGCGCCTCACCAATACCGAGGGATAAACCACTATCGTATTACACAGCCTCCCTCCTCTTTTAAGCGTCGTCCCCGGCGCTCCCG